AAAAGGTACAAAACAAAATGTAGTTGCAATCACTGTCAATTAAGAGCAAAAAATCATTGTAAATAATGATGAATGCACTACAGAAGTTGTTTGGGGGATAGAGACATGTTTCCTCTACTTTATTTCATATAAATCATGACAAAAAATGACACTACTGATTAATGACAGCCTTTTACAGGTCACAAACAAGACGCTTTCTTGCTAAAAGTCGGCAGCCGTTGCTAAGAAAAGGGGTAGCCTGCATCCGTTGCCTAGCAATGTACAAAGTCAATGTAGCAACACGGAAGTTTCCAATCCCTTTGATTTACTCTATTATCTATGGTTATTGCAAAACTTAACAACCACGCCCACTGCTTGTCACCTGCACAGGCTGCTTTCTTAGTCTGTTTCTTGGACTGTTTACTTACCAACTCACTAAATACTGATGCTGTGGGCAGGGAAAGTGGTTATCAATCTCTAAAAAGCCCTGTTTGGCATCATTTTGAAAAGTTTAACACCAAAAAGGTAGTTTATAATCATTCAGTAAAAGCAGTTCAATTAATCGAATATTCGTTCGTTTAGCATGCCAATTATTCGAATAGTGAAAAATACTATTCGTTTCAGCCCTAATGTAAATACAATCTAGCTCTACCCATTGTGCCAATTGCACATTACAAAAGATATATGTACACATACATGTAGGACCAAACTCAAACTAGTCTTGCATGTATTCTCCAAAACTGATGCAGTGATAAAGTTACATGAATGTATATTGTAAACATATACATGTATACATGTAGTTTAAAAGTTTTAGCACCATGTGTCATTTTCTTTCATACAACAAAATGGCTGCTGTGGAGGTAGTGGACCTTCAACTTGTACATGTAGCTACTACTAATTGGGCCAAAAGGCAAGAGTAAGGTTTGGTTCTTCATCAATTTTTCCTCAAGAACCAATATCAAAAAGGGACAATGCCAAGCCAGTGTGGGATATGAGATTACCATACAGGTACACATAGTAAATTTTGAGGGCATATAATTTTGGGATTTTGTTGAAGGTCTGAGTTTTTCCATTTTGAGGGAATTCAATTTCACATTTTTTGCATTTGCATTAAGAGCACATGCTGCGCATGTGCAGTTAGGCTGACACTTAACAAAAGAATGACAATGTTCCCCTGGGCTTGGAAGCAGATGTCACCGATGATTATATCAGATATGAATTTTTGTGATTAAGAAATCACAAACAAAATCTGCAAAATTAAATATTACATGAAACTACATGTACATACTGTACTTTCGTAAATAAAAGCCTTTAAGAAGTATCTACAAGGCAACTACATGCATGTTATTCTAGGGCTAGATTTTTGTACTTTTACTTCCAATTTTACAGCTACCCCGGTGTTTATAGGTCTGGCTTTTATATAAGGATATACGGTATACCCATACGGTAATTTTACCTAAAAATCATTTGGAGTGGTTTTTTCTAAAAACAGAATACTTTTGCATCTTATAGAGACTCATATAAATGTGTAAATAATAATCAGTATTAGTGCCTGCATTGTGACATACATGTATAAGTACACTTCTCTTTGTTCCAAATGCATCAACGTTTTTTTGACAAATTTGCATCAGGAATTCGACATAAACATGCATGGTCGTCATCTACTTTACGTGAAGCATGTATGAATCTGCTTTATAAACAAATGTATGTGTATGAGCGACTTCAGCATAAATACAAAATGCATACATACAATGTACATGTACAACTGTTATGTTACACCTATCAATACATGTATGTTACATAACCAACAAGTCATCTACATTGTATCTTATGAGCTACTTCTGTTAATGCTGAGGTACAATGTATCACTATCACATAAGTAGAATAATAATAGAAAGATCTCATTTATGACAGGCAGCAGAAATAATTAAAACAAGCAGTTACTATAATTCATTTTTAAGTACAGACTTAGAAAACTGACATGTTGTGTATACTATAGTGGCTGGGCTATTAGCGTCTGCAATACATTATGTAAAATACCTTAAGGATGCAATTGTACTTATACGTACATGTACATGACTTTCATGATACTGACATTTGGCTAGTATTTAATTTAGTTATTTAATATTAACAACTATAAGAAGCATAGACTTAAAATTACTTAGCAATTTTTTTAAAATTGCTAAAATTTGCTAAATTAATACCCACTAACAATTGTCTCCTTAAGGTACATTATTCTGTTAATAATTTTTTTATCTTTCAGTATTCTGACTACTACATTTATCACACTAACTGATGAATAATCTAATGATAATCATAATTATCACTGTTATTTAGATTTTACTACGAATTGCGAAGGGTAGCAGAAATAGCATACTAATCTGATTGAGTAGTAAGACTATACAAACAAACATATGAGTACTTGTTTTAGAATCTGAAATTGAAAAATGAAAATTACAACATCCCCAAGGTTTAAAAGTACACTTGTCAATTAATGTTTAAAAATACATCCCACAGTTACATATGTACCTTCTGTTAATGTAGATTTAGGACTGCTCAATGTTAAACAAATTTCACTTTCAAAATTAAAGATTGCCACAATGTACATGTACATGTATACACATGGCATTTAGAAATTTCTTTTTTCATTTTAAAGATTATTCTTCCACCAGGAATGAGAACAAAATTAAACTCTGACAAAACATACTTGCTATATGGTATTGCAGAAACACTGAATGTCAATAATTATTTGTAATAGAAAGTTTTCCCATTGCAGTTTACTTCATATTCATACAAACTACATTACAATGTAACTTATTAAGGGTTGAAAATAACAAAGTACATGTATCTTTTTCTCACTATAACTATTTTCATAAGAATTAAACTGCTACACAAAAATTAAAGAGAGGATATTTATGATGAATGAATAACATAAATATTATGTACTCTACCAGTTGAACATTACGCAAATGTATAATCTACAACAATGTATGTACATGTACTGTACTTTACATACACGAACATATCTATAAGTACGAACGATCGCACATTGTGTTATAAAAACACAGTAAAAGAGATACCTACATACCTGTAGTCAAGATACTGCTGCCTTGTGCCCCCATTGAAATAACTAGGTGCAGCATCATTTTTCATCATTGACAAATACCGCAAATTCGGAAACTGAGTTGATATCTTGTCTATAAATAATGCAAGATTAGTTATTTTGTTTCCATTAACCCATAACAATTCCAAACTTGGGAGATACGGAAATGAAGTATGTGACGTGACACTATTGTTATCCAACACAAGTGATGTTAAACTTGTTAAAATTTGAAGAAAACAAAAATCTCTAAGTAACATTAAGAAAAATACTTCTATTGAATAGTGTAATTTTAAAGAAATCTTAAGTGCACAATACATGTAATGCTTATTGTACTGTGGCACAATGAGTTGTCATAAAACAATTGAAAGGATACGTTACATTGTTGTAACCAATGTCAAGAATTCTCACATCTGAGGGTCTTAAAAACACATCTCTTGGGACTTCGTTCAGTTCCCGATGAGCCAAAGTGACCCTTCCCGAAGGTTCTGAAGGCCGATTGCCATCCTTTTTAGGTCTACCCCGAGACATTGACAAACTAACTTGACCGAGTTTCACCATGCACGTGACCATTCATAAATCCGCCCTCAATGGAGTAGCTGTAACGCGTGCATACACGTGGTGCAAAACTAAACTACCGGGGTCGGTACTTCTCAGAAGGCATTTTTTCGACAAAAGGCTATGGAGACTTTTAAGCCATTTTATGCATTATTCTCAATCAGCAGTATCACTATTAGTTGTAATGCATGGAAATTAACAGAACTAATAAACAATTACATGGGTAACTGATAAAATCATAATTTGTCAAGTTCGTCCTTTTGATTGTCATCCTTCAAACTTCGTGGTTCTTTGCAATCAAGATCATTTGGGACTTCCTCCTTTAAATTGGCAGGACAACTTTTTTGTGAGGTAGCAATTGATGGTATGGAACTGTCACCACTTTTTAGATTTATCGTTTTCATAGCAACACAACTCACGTTATACTGCTTTAATTCATAAAAATCTTTCAATACTGAAAGGCAGCATAAATTCTAAATGTAAAACAAAGTATAACCCATTAATCAGAATGACAGAATTAAAACCTTCAAAACTTCAGCACATACAACTAAAGTTGGTTGCCTTAAGTTAACACAATGGTAATATGCTCCACTATCAGTTACAAAAGATGCCAGAAGATCAATTAAAGTATCTCGTTTGATACCTTGGTTGTTTCTAATCTTGCAGCGAACAGAAAACTAAAACAAATGTAAGAGTTCAAATTAATTAATAACTTACCTCTATTGAAGAGGATGTGTCAGTGTGAAAATGAGGAGAAATAATACTTGGAGCCATTTTTTTAATGTCATTTATACTGGCATGACAAACATTTTTCACTGGAATCATTTTTAGACAGAATCTATGACCAATGTCATTGTGTGTGTAAAATTTAATGAACAAAATTGTAAAAAATATTTCCAATAGCCATTTAAAAATTTTTATAATCAATAATTTTATCGAGAAATATTGATAAATATAGATTCACTTGATGGAATCCCATTAAAAGTAAGGGTGGGAAAATATGGGTTTTGTTTTGAGGTTTTATTGCATGGCTAACCTTAACACTACTATAGCACTGTCTAAAATACAACAGTGTACCAAAAGTATATCAATACAAAAACACTACGAACTTTTACTACCTATTATTATTACCTTGTCTTTTGAAGTTCATTATCTTTAATGTCACATAATAAATGATGAACTAAATGACATGGATCAATTGAAGAATCACATTGAATGAAAACAATATTTTTAACACCGGTTGACATAGCTTTAAATCTCATTGTAGGTTTTGCTTTTATTGTACTAATTTCCTGCAGCAGAAGGTCACCAATGTCCTTACTCTGTTCTCCTTCATCAGAATTAGATGATTGAAAACCATAAAGTTCATCAGCATACTACAAAACAAAAATTAAACATATTTGATTAGCTCAGTTCATTGAGGTAGCCACCACTCCATTATAGTCACTATTCACTTAATTTTTTTTGTTGCAGCAAAATTAATGTGTCTAAAATGTTTGTTGTTCTGAAAATTATCATTTGTTGTTTTCAGACTCTTGCATGAAACTTTTAAACATCAATGAAATGTCCTTGCCATTTGAAATCAAGTAGTGCCATAAGTAAGGTAATAAAAAACTAACATGCATGCCTATTATTAAACCATAGTTAAACTAGCGTAATTTTCACCTAAATTGGAAAACATTAAGGCCAAAATTTTTTAGGGCAGTAAATTTCCCAAATTTAGACTTGCAAACATCAATTTTATAACAATTAGAATGTGAACAAAGTAATTTCTGAAAAGCAAAATTCACAGAATAATTTTTTGGGTAAAATAAGATTTACATGGCTAAAAAAGTTTGCATTATACAGTATAACATACACACTATGACAAGAAATTGTAACCCATGACTGAAAATGTCTCTATGTACCCTTGCCATTAGCATCAGTCTTGTCACTGAAGCACACAAGCAAAGTGCAACATTTCCATTTGTAATAATGGGCATGGTATATTATAGGTAGTACTGTTCACAAAATATTAACATAAAATGCAAGTTAGGATTAGGTTAATTCACACTTTTGTCATCTCAGTAAAATAACTATGGTTACTAGCTTACTAAGTCATGTCACCTATTGAAGAGATTACAAAGTAATCACCATAACATTCACTAATGTGATCTATAATAATAAACATAAGTTTTCACAAAAATCCAGACATAGTAACAATCAGACTTACATACTGGTAATGTGCACATACAACACACAAACACTCTGCATTGAAGCTACTGCATGTACATGTACATTCAAATGACATACAGCTTCAGTATGGAATTTCCAAATGTCAAATTCAATGTTCAAATTTTCAAATTTAAATTTCATCCAACTTCAGTATGGAATTTTAAAATTACACAAAGGCCAAAGACATTACATAATATTCTCTGAAGTCAATTCAGTTTACATGCCCATGATAAACATTCCTGATAACAAAACAATAGAGGATATGCGTGCTAAGTATATTCATAGCTTTTTAGTACTGTATATCCAACCCACACAGTAAATTGGCTGCCATGTTGGACGTCAAGTTTATTAAGAGTTCAATGGGGGAAAACATATTTTCTTGCCTTGCTACCTTCTTGAGACCTTTTTCGGAAGCTTAGAAATCATCCTGAGGATCTAATGGGGCATAGTAGTCACCTGAAAAATTGCTATCAAGAAATACAGAGCGGTTTCCTGGTACCAAGCCTTTTTCTATCATTTCTCCATTGCTACCAATGGAAAGTTGACGTCCAACGAACTAATTTTTTTCTTGAAAGTTATGACGGTATGCAATGAATACATTTATTTTGCAATGAATGTACTTAGCACGCATATCCTCTATTGCTATTGAAAAACCTATAACTTTCAAGCATAATTATTAAATAACACCACAAGTGCATTAAAACGTCATTGATTAGAAGGGTGTCATCAATATGAATGATAATTTAATCTCACTTCGTTTAATAAATCATAGGCTTCACTGACACACAGTTTCTCCTTATCATTTGTAGTAATTAATATTCCTTGCATTCCAACAGCTAACTCTGGGATTTTACTAGTTTTGAACTAATTACAAGAAAAAAGATCTATTCACATTGATGCAATACTTTTTTCGACTTTTTCCATCTTTGTATGTGCTTCTTCCTTTTTCTTGATTCAGAAACTTCGACACTTGCCATCATTAATAATGATAATAATAATTTGGGCGTGGTAGTGGGACGTCCAGCTAGCTCGAGCTCACAACTGTCAATAATTTTTCTGACGACAACTAGACGCATGGCAGCATGATGGCAGCTGATAATGCCAATCCAGTTGTGTTTGAGGTCGCTAAACAAAGACCTGTTACAGTAGAAGAAGAGAAAGATGACGTGTATGATGAAATAGATGCGAGAGAAGTGTTTGGTGAGTTTTGGTGGATTATTAATTTTACCTGTAGTACATAATGGGGGAGGGGTTGCAAACAAATCCTATTCCTAGTCTTGCGTAGCCAAACCCATTTCCTATTTGACATTTTTGGATGGTGGGGAAGGGTCTGGTGTACGTACCTGAATCAAGTTGTTCAAAGGGCGACCGTCGGCTTGGTCATTGTTACTCATGTCAGGCATTAAAGACTAATTAGAGGTATAATTAGAAAAGTCAGGTGTGGCTATACAAGATGGCAGACAATCTTCCTTCAGCAGTGAACAACTTTCTAGTTTCTACGCATTTTGGCATTATTCTGAAGGAAAAAAGCTATCAGAAGCTACTGTTTATTTGCATCTCAACCATCTCTCTACCAGACTAGCTAGATTATGGCAACCCTAATACATGCTTTTAAGTTTGCAAACGATTTTTATCATACATCATATGAATTGTTGTCAATACTTTATGCTTACTGTACTGGTAAGAAGGTAGCATTGTAGTGTCTGATCCAAAGGGACTCTTAAGGATTTTACCAGCCACAAGAGCCTTTGGAATGGAAGTAATGTTGTCAGGGTATTCTACAAAATGTCATTGTAGGGATTTGCATACTGCACTGAGTCAGGGAGACTATTTTAGTACTTGTTGTAACACTTGTGCATTTAAACTGATATTTTGTGATTGCATGTGTATATTTAGTGTTTTGCATGTCAGTACTAAAGGATGGAACAATTCTTTCTACACTTGCAAGCATGTACATGTAGGTCTTTCTCAGCAGATCCAACATAGCAATGTTTCTCCTCCTTTTATCCTTCCAAATATTGCTACTGATAGTTTAAAGCAAAGAAAAGTTAGAATACACAGTTTATCAGCCATATTGCAACAGACCCATCCAAGAAAATGACTTTCAATTATTCAACAACTTTCAAGTATCCAACAGAGCTTCCCAATTCTCACTTTACTTCCTGGAACAACTTGATTCAGGTACATACACCAAACCCTTCCCTCGCCGTCCAAATGTCAAAAAGGGGGATTGGTCTGGCTATGTGAACCCCCTCCCCCCAAATCCTGGTCCTTATTGTTTCCCTTTGAATCTCTGGGCAAATGATAGGCTGGCTGTCTCATGAATTTGCTATGATTATAAGGAGGGAAGCTTCACAGAGAAGCTCATGCATGTAGCACTGTACATGTATAAGTGAACGGTGAAGTTGCCATTTAGAAGTATAGACCATGCTGACCACCTTAGGCATCAATTAGAAAAAGTTATGAACTTTATCAATATTGTATGTGGTATATACCCATCATACCCATGTGTCAAGATTGGGCACCATTTTGTGTGGCAACTTGGTTATGAAAGTCAAGGGAGGCGCAAAAAAGTTAAAAATCACTTGTAACAAGAAAGAATGCCTGTGAGCTTCTCTTATGAAAGATTGGTCGAATTTACTTGAAGTTAATACTGGTTTGTTTTTATGTTGGCCCGTTGGTTCTCCATTGAAAGTTACCTACCAAAATGACGGCCAGAATTTAGTTCATCCTAAACCTTGCCTTACTACCATAAAAATTTTTAATTGGGGCGAGCCTGAGCGAGCCCTGCTAAGACGAGAGAGCATCTGTATGTATGTACGGGCATTGGGTTGTCTAACTATTACTGAAGTTAAATATATAGCCTAATCTTCATTGAAAGTGGGTGTGGTCACAATGAATAAAATGGCGGCTATCAGCAAGTCTGAGCTTATTTGCAGGAAGCGGTCAGCAAGATAAGACTAGTCTGCTGTTCAAAGACTTCTCTGGCAAGAAGAAAGTTACAAAAGCAGGCATAGAATCTTTTTTCTTCATATAAAGGACTCTGATAAGTTGAATGTAAGTGAGAAAGCTGCATGTACTGTAGCTAACTGCATGCGTTATGAGATCTATTCTAGGTGATATGTTTCTTCTCTAACAGCAAGCCTAAGTTAACAAAGCAGATATACAATCTTCTTCAAGTATGAGTTGTTAAGTGATTCTGTCTCTGATGAGTTGAATGACAATGAATGCTGAGAGAAAGCTGCATGCCTTGCTAATTTCTGCTGCTTGTGCATGCAGTGATTGTGATTGTTTCTAGCAGCAAAGACAGTTAACAAAGCAGATGTACTGTCTTCTAAAGACTCTTTAGCGATGAATTGATAAAGAAAATTTACATTTTTTAACTACAAGATATGGACTACTCATGTACACATGTACATTGCTTTACTTGCTCATACATGTTGATCAGACAGCATATACAATTAACCTATGGCTTGCTTAGGCTCGCCCCTTTAATGTTCTACATTACTCCTAGTAATTCCTACCCAATCAATTCTCACCTAAGGTGGTCTATACGATGGCTGTTATGTATAACATGTACATATATACATGTCACTGAATCCTATAAAGGGACAAAGATAGTCATGTACATGTACATGAACATTGTACAAGCATTCACTAATTATACCAGTTTAGTGACCCACCCCATCCTGGGTTTAAGTAGTGATTTGACAACAAAACCTACCTAAAGTCTAAAGTCATACTATTAACCAATTTTAAGGGCCTGTTTTTATTTCATGCGTGGTATCATTTGATCTTTTGGTGCTTGAAATTTTTATTAAATTAAGTGTGCAATCTTGATTGTAATTATATATACTCATATAAAGTGTGGTTTATTGGGAATGATGCAGTATAGTATTTAAAAAGCAAGAATATTGAATTCTCAACCCATTTGGTTGTCATTATTTGACAATACCCCTCCTACTATTATAATACTTCCCATCTTTTGTACATTTGTATGTACATGTAAATGTGTAATTGTGTTACTGTCTGTCAATATTAATTGAAGCTTCAACTGTTTTTATCTATCTTTACATGTTTATTGTGACAACATGGGAACTGTACAACTAAGTGAAAGGCCCATGACATGTAATTGAATAAGTATAAACTTGATGTTGCTATTTGCTAACCTACATACAATCTGCTTGGCTCTGTAATGGTCAAGGCTTAATGCACTTTGTTATAGTCATTTGGTAGCATTGTGGAAATTTCATTACTATACTAGTTTTATCAACAAAGTTCACAATTATTTTAAATACATGTACATTTTAAATTGTAGTTACAATTATGTTAACAATTCAAATTTTCAATTGATAAATTCTTTTAATTTTTTATAGATTTGATAAGACATATTAATGATCCAGAACATCCACTGACATTGGAAGAATTAAATGTTGTTCAAGAAGATTTAATATGCATCAACAATAAGGAAAATTTTGTATCCGTACACTTTACACCAACTATACCACATTGTAGCATGGCTACACTCATTGGCTTGTCTATCAGAGTATGTCTTCTTAGGTCATTACCTAATCGGTTTAAAGTTAGTTTAAAAAATTTGGTTATAGTTATAATATCATCCTTATGTATTGAAGATTGATGTCATTATTACTCCTGGTTCTCATATGTCAGAACAAGCTAGTTAGTCATAATTTTCATTTCCAATTTTTAACAATAGCATTTTTAGTTAACAAGCAGCTAGCTGATAAAGAGAGGATAGCAGCAGCAATTGAAAATAGTCATTTACTTAATGTTGTGCATCAATGTTTAAATACTAAAAGAAAACAGTGACTGAACTGGAATTTTTTAATAAACTAGATCTACTATGTATTAACTATAATAACACGAATTAATATTAATTTGAGTTTGTCAGTTTGAGTTTGTGAAACAAAATGGAGGCGGTTGATAGAACAAGGAAGGAGTTGTTTAGCACTTTGAAGGACAAAAGTTCCAGATATTGGGAGCTCATGAAAAGTTGGTACAAAAGAAGGATATCTAAAGAGGATTTTGACGCGAAAGCCAAGTCTTTATTGGGAGATGAAGGAATACAACTACATAACGAGTTCTTGTTTGCAATACTGGTGAAATGTCATGTTGGTGTTCCTAACGAATTGGGACCAAATGTCATGCAAGAGTCAATAGTTGTTTCTGTTGGTGGAACAGCACAAGAAGATTCCAAACGTTTAAAACTTGATTCGTCACATCCTACAGACACAACACCCTATGGTGCGTTTGACAGATTGACACTTCAAGTTCCATCAAGTACATTGATATGTGGCAAAGATCTAGACAGGCTTTTATTGTGTTGTCATGAACTCTTATTGCCTGACCCAGCTACACTTCAGGTGAGGATGCTATTAGAAGCATGGGAATGTGGTTTGGAAGGTGTATCTGAAGTCTCTGTGCAGTATATGATGATAGCTACTAAGGTAACATGCAATAACCTACATTGTGCTGTGTATAATCCTAATTGTATTATTTCATAGTATTTTCTAAAGAATATTATTGCAGCATGCATTGCAAATACTACTTTAACTGAAAGGAATTTCCAGAAAGACACTGTTTTCCAGAAGGACGATGAAGTAATAGATTTCATGTCTGGCCACAGGTATAGCCATTTCATGTGTATAAAAAAGAAAACTGAATTTTGTCCATATTGTCCACAATAAATAATCATTAGTAGTCAGTTAGGGCTATTCCATATCTGGGGCTATTCTGTCCTTTTGTATAAAGCAGGCCTGGGGTCAATTACAATTAAATGTAATCTATTACTATTACTATTACAGCCTTTTTTCAAAGTAATCTATTACTATTACTATTACAACAAAGTATATTACTATTACAATTACTATTACAATACGCCATAGATTTTTATAGGTTACTGATAAAAATAATCTAATTTTGAAGTTAATCTAAGCCATTTTATAGTTTCTAATTAAGAATGCTTTGTTATATTTATGATAAAAAGTCTCAGTACTGAGCAATAGTTCCTGGCTAACGTGCTATTTTCCTATTGTTACTTATTAGTGTAACACTGCAAGTAATAGCTATGTAATATTGAGATTACATATTACTTTGACCATTATTACTATTACTATTACTATTACTTCCTGTTGCCAAAGATTCTATTACTATTACTATTACTATTACTTGGTGCCCTGTAATCGTTACTATTACAATTACTATTACATATTACTATTACCCCAGGCCTGGTATAAAGGAGTGAGAAATTAGTGTGCTTGGATCAGAATAGCCCCTTCTAGGTAGTCCTACTTTCCTATTGTAATAAATTTTTAATTGGAGTAGGTACAGAACTAAGACCAAATTTTCTACCTAGCAACAGCTTGATCCCTACATAGCAAAAGTGAAAAAGCTGGCAAATTACTAGTCTTTCTTCGGACTGTCAGAATCGTCCCGAAATACTGTCCATTTACCTAAAATTTGAATGAAAACTTAAAACTGAACTTTGCCTGTATTAATGAAAAATACCGTAGATCAGGAAATTTGTGTGGTAGAAAATTGTTGTGTTCTAAAATTGTGCTGATTTAATTTTTACTAAATATGACTGTGTCATGTATTATTGATTGTGACATGTACATGTAATTATATGGGTAATCTAATTTTTGCAAAATTCTAATCCAGTAAAATTAAAATCACAGTAAGAATTTCCAGGTAGATGGTAGGTAAAATAGACTTAGTAAAACACAGTGATGGTTAAAATGAGTGGATAAAAGCAACAAGAAGCGAGTTATGACTTTGTGAATATTTAATTAGATCATAGTACAGAATGGGTTCAAATAGCCCTGAGGTACTCTATGTAAATAACAAGTATTGTGTAGTCCTACATGTACATTTACATATTCTAATACTCATACTTTGCCATTGTTATTCATTTATAGTAAATCGTTACAATCTGAAGCTTTACAAGCTCAACACTTTTCCAAGACACACCAAGGAAAATTTTCATCATCAATAACACTGTTTCATTTGAGAGACACATTACTTGCGAGTGGTAGTGTGTGCATTCCTAATCATTTTGTACGCCACTGCTTGCTAGAAAGAATAATATCAAGACTCTGGCATCCTGATAAAGATGAATTGAAATGTAAGCAATCTATTCAACAGTGGCAAAAGACATATACTCTACAATAATAACAATAATTTGCAACACACCCAACATGTCACATTATTGTCATAATTCTTTGATTGTTTGTACAATATCTGGCTTTAAAATGAGATCATATTTATCACCACATGAAATTTTATCAGTCCATGATAAGTTAAGAACAGCAGCTGGTGCCTATAAATAAAATAGCCTTACTACATGTAATTGTCATTAATTTTAGAACTTACCATTCCCAGTTGAGCGAGGCTTGCAGCATCATCTGAAACAATTTTTTGCAAAAATGTCAAACTATATAATCTTGTTGGATCAATAAGATGGTGAAGCACAAATTGCCTGACTTCTGAGAACTTATCAAATGGCCAAAAAATACCTACATGTACATGGAGTTTTACAATAAAAATTAATGACGATGTCAAAAACGTGTTCTGTCTATACCTTGTAATATCACTCCTTCTGGGAATCGGATTCTTATCACTACAAATTTGTAATATCGCATGGCACTTTTAATTTCATCTCTTTCTCTCATTGCTTTTGTTCGTAACATGGATTCCTTTTCCAAAGCTGCTGATCTATTGTACAATCATTAGTAACTTAATTTATAAAAGGTTGCATGCATGTGCATGTATCCACTGCTAACTTAAGTTTTTGCTCTTTCTTTATTTCTTCAATGGACATGTTGTAAAATGAGTCTGGTAAATCAAACTGATTTAGTTTACTTGTTGCTATAAAGAGCTATCAAATTTTATATTGATGAAGAGTTATGAATAAACCAAACCTGTGAATTTCTGTCTAACTCGGATTTAAGTGGAGATGCTGACACAAGTAGCTGCTTGAAAGCTGTCAATTCTTCCGTCTTGGTAGCTACATCCTCTGAAAGAACAAAAAAGCTAGTTTCGCCATCTACATGTAAAAGGAATAAATAGCAGCAGTAATGGATAATTATTATTATTCATAACCTTCAAAAGGTAATACTTTTAGTTGAAATCCAATAGCTTTTAAGAATAGGTCACTTCCTATTACACACAATACCTTTTCTTGAAAATTCTTATTGTGAACCCGAATCTTTCTAAACTTTACTTCTGTTGGATTATTTATTATGTTATCAAGATAACTATATGTGTAATGATGTGTAAATAAAAAAATTATGCAATGCATCAAACTAACCGACTGATGGTGTCAATACAGAGCTTCTTTTGCTCTTCATTTCTACACAAGGTATGTATCATGTGTACAGAAGAAGACAGTGGCTCTTTTATGTATTCCTACATGTAGATTGAGGATGTTAGATGGTGCTAGATCTATCAGCAACACAGATACACAATGTACATTTAGGACAGATGGCGCACAAATGTAATAAGATTGATATTAATAAGAAAATGGCTTGGGTAATTCTGCATAGAGACAGGCTCTCTAAGAAATCTCTGTAATTTCAAGTTTTTAACTGAAACAAGAGTATAATAGTTCAAAGGTGCATGTGTACAACATGTATGTACAAATGTATCTACCTCTTGCAGGCAAAGTTGAATGTGACAATGAATTTGGTTTTCAGGAATTTTTTTCTTGCATATAGCACAGCAAAAGTTGATAATGATTTCTGTAGTTACAATTGGAGAATGTGAACTGGAAGTCTAAAAAAGTCGAAAGTACAGTACTTAAAATGGAACATTTACAAGTAAATGTTTGTAACTATACAAGTACATTGTGTGTAACTTTAATTAAAGTAACTGTAATTATATACATGGATGAGATACCGTAGATCGGGAAATTTTCGTTGTTAAAATATTTTCGTGGATGAAGTGACCCGCGAAAATTTGACACAAAATATTTTCTACAGTGAATAATAAGATTACCGAAATTATTTTAACGTGCAGCGGTGCACTGCACCCACGAGGCTCTTCAAGTCTTCTAAAAGCCCAGAGAAGGCCTGAAGCTCTCACCAAAGAGGCTCCTTGTCAGTTTTAGTACTGTCACGAGCAACTTCCATTGAATAGCTGTCCATCGTCATCAAGAGTTAGTAGCCACTTGTGCGGTTTATGACGTGTCCAAAAATTTTCATGTTGAAAAAATTTCGCGGATGGGTCAACCAGCGAAAATAAAATACTTTGAAAAAATTTCACGCCAATTATTTCTAACATGAAAATTTCCCAATCTACGGTATATATATACAAGTACTGCACATGCATATACAATATGTGGTATGTTACTTCATTAGCATACTGCAGAAGCCTTAGATTCTTGGGACATTGCAGCATAGTCTTTGTATAATTCCCTTGATGACTTTACAACAGGTCCTCCTTTTTCTAATCTACTTACAGCAGCAGCTCCAGCAGTTGCTGATGCACTAGACTGAGCTTGCCTTTTTGGTGGTGGCTTATTATACTCATCTACAGTGGATGCAAAAATTGGTATTAGCTTCATCTTCATCAAAAATTCACACAATTTAATAATTAAGACTTCTTGATGCAAGCCTTCTGCTGCTCATCTCAAATTCCCAATGGGCAAAATACAAACATTTAGTATATGTATATAGTCAAGCTTATATATAGGCCTTTGCCACTAAAGTATTGTGGAACGACTACAGCTAGCATGACCTGTATCTGTGGTTATCAGGCTCCAGAGAAATTTAAAACTAAAATGCAAGCAGCAAATTCATGTCATCATAAAATTAAACAATTTAAAAGTAGAATACAATAAAAATGGTATGGTGTAGTGTTGTTTTGGTATGAACATTTGTTTTGGTTATAGTTTTAGTTACAGTTCGAATGGTCACTTTTCTTTTAGTTTAGTATTAGTTTTAGTTTAATTCTTCAATCCTTTTTAGTTTTAGTTTTAGTTTTAGTTTGAAACTTGAATAATGTTTTAGTTCTAGTTTTAGTTTAGTTTCAGACTTTGATTTTCTTTTAGTTTTAGTTTAGTTTTAGTTTAGTTTTAGTTTTTCACTATTAAAATAAATTTAGTTTAGTTTTAGTATTTAAGAAAAGTTTTAGTTTTAGTAAAAATTTGAGTAAATATATCCCATAGCACTAGCCATTTTCTAAAATTACAAGCACAATGTGGTAACCATGGTTAAACCAGGTGCATATAACATATGCATGCATGACCTGTAACTAACTAAAAGATATTTTGGTTTATAGGATGTAATTGTATTAGTTTTAGTTTTTTTTGAAAACATCATTGACTTTTAGTTATAGTTTTAGTTTAGTTCTTTTACTCTGTTTAACTTTTAGTTTTAGTTGTAGTTTTAGTTTAAACCTCCAATGACTTTTAGTTTTAGTTTTAGTTTACTAAAAGTAAAATGGCTTACTAGAAGTACTTTTAGTTTTAGTTATAGTAAACCAAAACAACACTAGTATGGCGATCGTTTCAAATTTAATTCTAGATGCTAATTTTTTTGGTTTCAGTACTCAACCCAATACCTACATGTATGTACATGTACATGTACAGGTACATATAGTCTTGCCCCACCCCTTCACTACCTGCGGAGGAAGGGTCTGGAGACTTTGCTATTTAAAATAAGTGCAAAAAGACCACATGGTTGGCTCTACATGATGTGACAGAGGAGACCAGATCAATGAAAACAGCTGAAAGAGTCTCTTGGACATCTTTTGCAGACTTGAGAGCAGCAACTCTTAACTGACAGAGTGCCATAGTATTTACTTTTTATTGATGACGTTTTATTGCAAACACGTGACAGTATTATTACGTCATAAGTGCAAAGCCTTGTTAATGCTGCTCTTAAACCTTGAGAAAGAAGTACATGGAGCATTGCAGGCTCTTTTCTTCCTTTATATGGTCCTTATTCTTCCTCTTTTGTGTTAAATAGAGCTCTTCTGTCACATGACTACTTGTCCTACGCGTGGTTCAAGCAATCTGATTGGGACGTCGATTTCTCTGCATAAGGCACATATTTTAGATGGCAGTGTCTCCAGAACCTTTCTCTGCAGGTAGTGAAGGGGTGGGGCGAGACTAATGTACATACAGTCATTGGTGTAGATACATATACAGTGCATTTGGGTAAGGTACATTGTCCTTGGAAAGGAAGGTTAACCAGTGTTGATCAATTCTTTTAGAAAAAAACAGGGCAATTTAATGCGTGCTTTATTCTAAAGAAAAACAAACTCTATTTCAGTTTCAGAGTCAAGCTGTCAACGTGATGTACAATATTGCAAATCCACTATACATGTACATGTAAGTAGTTATCATACCTAGAACTGGATGCGATGTGACCAAGAGGAACTGACAAACAATGTGATATCACTACAAGAGTCATTTTTATTACCATTAAGAGTAGTTATTGTCATTGTGGGTGTGGGATGATCATTATGAAATATAGAGCGGCAGTAATTTTATGAGTTCTATCTTTGGTGCCTGGGAATGGGAACACCAATACCCCATTTGTTGGAACAACAAAAGTAAGCTTAATGGAATGGTTTAGTTTAGTACAATTCCAGTCATGTAGTTTAAACATAACATAAATTAGACTAACATAAAATGGCACTCATAACAGGTCAAAACAAGCTAGTACCTTTCATGTCAAGAGGCTTAGACTTTTCTTCATGAAGAGTATGGCCAGTTCCAGCTTTAGAAAACTTATAATCTAGTTTTTTCTTCTGAAAAAACTCTTTCACTTTGTCTGCCATGTTGCAACAGTCACTCACTAATCCAGGCTCCTCCTCTTTGAAATTTGAAAATTGAGTTGTGGCGTGTCCGGTTCTGCTTAGTTCAAAGTTAAAAATGAGCACTTCACGCAAAAATGATAGCCTGAAAAGAAGAGATCCACTTAATAGACCAAGTAGCACAAAATTGAAGAATAGAGAAGCTGAATATAGGTTAGCCTAACGTAGTGTATCCCGAGGTGTATCCAACCATGATCCAACTATCCATTATTCTTGGTAATTTTGTTGTGGAAGGGGCTAGTCTAGATGAACATAGATCAATGCTGAATTGATTGTACATGCACACTCTTGCTAGCTAGATGCATCTCCTTTCCCAAATCTATAATATCAAAAGAGCGATGCTTTTGCTATGAAGCTAGATCTGTAGGCCATACTTATATCGATAGTCTTGCTTTTGCCTCAAGTTGACTAGACTTAGTCAGGCCAGGGTAGTCTACTATCTCTGGTTAGGTGGGCTTTAACGAGGGTCAGGCTGCCTGACTAGACCTACAGTATGTAACGCATTGGATGGGTGATTCTTAGTGTGGAGCATTTGCCTCAATCCAGAATGGAATTGAAATCTAGTTGACAGAGAAGAGGTAATCATTTCAAGCTATTCGGAATTAAGCCACACCCAACCACCATTTTAGCATGAATAATAAATCAGTAGTTGTTAAATATTTTCTTATAGATAGCACGTAGTTTTATGCTTGCACAGATGTAGTATTTCCAATGGTATTCAATTCCATCAATTTCAGTCCAAAAGTATTGTCAAATTCACCAAAATTTTACTTTACTTAAAGAACAAATTTGTATAATGGTATTAATTTATTTTTGGCGCAAAACATGCTACCATTGCTTATTATGTAATTACAATTATCAATTTTAATTGCTAAGGCACAGAAATGTTATGATAATTATTATAAATAATTCTGTCTTTACATTAGTATGGTCATGGCTTGTACATGCATGCATGTACATGTACAAGTACAGTAAATGCATGTATGTGTACTAAATAGGAAAGTGAATGCAAAACTAGAAGTTAAGACAGCAAGTCTTGTAAAGGAAGTAGAGCATTTAATTGTGAGTAAGCTTAGTATCATGCTACAATAATGAGCCTGTTTTAACTACTATTAGCAAGGACACAATGTAGTACAAGAAGAAGAAAAGAAATCTTTGTTAAAGTAAAAATCATATTTAAAATTACTGTAACTTTAATGGTACTTTTAGTGATGAGCCAAGTGTCCTAAACAATGATAGCCAAACTGTGAAGTAAGTACAATGTTCATACTGCTACTGGTACATGTACATGTACTTTGAACGTTCTTAATGTTGAAAGAGAAGATATCTCAAAGCCAGAAACAGCATCAAATGTGGCTATATCAACTGATATAGAAAGAACTGTACGACAGCTGGAAGAAAAATTAGAGAAGGAAGAAGTCCATTGTGATAATGAGCAGAAGGAAGGAAATGTCATTCCATTAGTAGCTGAAGAGTTAGGAAATGGTCAGTATTATCTAGAAAGTGTTTTGAACTTAATATGAATTTTGTAACTACAGAGGCTATGCTGCGATTCCTAAAAGCAAAGCTAAGAGTGGTGCAGGAAGAAATGGAAAAAGTGACAAGAAATTACCAAGAATTGGTACATGCTTCCATGTATATGTACAGTATATCAAAATACAATCATTATGTATTAATTGTTTACAGGAAAAGAAATACCAGTCCTCAATTGATGAAGTTAAAACTCTTAATGAGTATAACAAAAGGTTAGAAAAAACTCAGCAGTCATTGAAAGTGAGAAGAAAATTTAGTTACAATAAAAACTCCTGTTAATTCATTGCCAGTCAAGTACAATTAAATATCAAGAACTGATAAAGGAATTGCAAGATAAGACTGAAGCTCTTGAAATACAGCTAGTAGCAATGAGAAGAGTAAGTGCAGCTACAGGTAACAGTGAGCATGAGTATTGCATATCTACATGTACATAATTATTTTTCATTGGGCGGCAACAACAGAATTTTTCTGTTAAGCATCAATTATTTCAGTGATAGTTTACTTCGTAATACATGTAATTATTGCCTTCACCATAATTTCAACAAATGTATTGCACATAATCCTGTGAGTAGTGTTGTTTTAGTTAACAATAACTAAAACTCAAACCTATTTTAGTGAGCTGTTTTCCTAAAATTCAAATTCCTCAGTGCTTATAACTAAACTAAAAAACTAGTACTAATTAACTATAACAAAAACTAAAACTTCAATTGTGCATTATGTATACATTGACTAAAGCTAAAACTAAAATTGCACACTTGTTACTGTTTAAATGATTGCAGGTTTGACCACCAATAGCTAGCACTATACTGTTGGTAAGGTCATTTAGTTCATTCACAAGTTCTTAATTTTGATGATTTAATCATTTTTACATTATTGGAAAGACCTTGGTGAATTAAATGATAACTAAAACTAAAACTAGAAGCATCGAAAAAATAAAACTATAACTAAAACTAAAATACAATTTTGAAATGATAACAATAACTAAAACTAAAAATAATTATTACCATTGCATAACTAAAACTTTATAAATTAAAGAAATAGGAAACTAAAACTAAAACTAAAACTCTTGTACCATACTAAAACAACACCACCTGTGAGACTATAATACATGCAATTGTTAATAAACTTCTTTAGGAAGTAGATTCCGAGAAGACATTGCAAAAGAAATTAACTGTAACTCATAGTGGTACTGAAGTCAGATTGAACAGAGCATTAGAAGACGTTGAAAAGTATAAGAATCTTTATCAGAAATTAAAACAGGATTCTAAGGTATACACCGTAAATTCCCTATTTTTTCATGCAATCACCAAAACTATTTTTATTGATCTGTGAGAATGTATTTAATCATGTCTAATTCTGTTTGTTTTGATAGGACTCGGTTAAACATGATAGGCAAAAATTGGAAACACTTGAAGCACGTAACAAAACTTTAGAAAAACAAAAGAAGGAGCTGTTGGCTGCTTTTGGGAAGCAACTGAAACTAATTGATATCCTGAAACGGCAAAAAATTCACTTAGAAGCAGCAAGGATGATAGCATTTGCAGAAGAGGAGTTTGTGAAAGTTCTTGACTGGGATGTAGTTTAACAGTTGACACTGATACATAATCACTTAATTTATTTGGCAATATACACTCAGACTAGATGCAGTACTAGCTGGTACCAGTACCTGGTAATTTATTGAACAACATAAAAGAATCTATTATTCTTAATGAAAACTTAATGTGCAGATAGATGTACATGTACATGTAACAGGTATTGAATAATCAAGAGCTCAGTTTTACAAAACTCTTTAAAAAGTGAATGTTTTCCTATGAGGTACGATAAAAACGACATTTCTGTCCATTGTAATCTTGTATGACTTGTTCAGTAAGTGAATGATCACCTTCAGTAACAGATAGTCCTGAAAACCAGTCATCACAGGACTTTTGCAATTCAGTTGTAACATTAGCATGACTCCAGTTATCATACCACTCATTAAATTGAGACTTTTGCTTAGCAAATACCCATGGGTTGACCTACATTTGCAAAATACATGTACATAATGTTATTGCTAGTGATATGTACTAGTTAAACAAACTGTTATACCTGTTTTGCTTTAGATAAGGTACCCTTGCGATACATATAATCTTCACTATTAGCTAATGGTATCATTCTATACGTTCTATCATCCATTTTAAATTCAATGGCTCCATGTATATCAAATTCTTGTAGCAATGGATTCGAAGAACCCAATGAGCAGTCCATCTCCACAGTAGTAGTACATGTAAGTTGAGTTGGATCACGATGAGTTCTAGACAAAAAAAGAAAAAATTATAATATAATTGTGGTGTAAAATGTACCTCATCAAAAAAGTTTTCCTTTCTTGCACTAATGACCGGAATTCATGAAAATTTGAGTCATCTTTACTATACTGTTCAACATAAGACAAACATTTCTACATAAAAGAAAGTAAAGAGCTTAAAAATAAGTGTGGAACAATTATTTTCTGTAAAATAAGTAATATAGAGTACTAATTGCCATTGGCTGTACCAAAGAATAGTACCAAGAGTCCATTATATAATGGACTCTTGATAGTACCTATTATGGAATGGTGCACAACAAACCACCAGTTCCTTTTTTAACTACATGTATGTCAATTAATACTAATCATGAAAACAAAAGTTTGTTTGTGGCAATAATTGTGTTGTATCTAAAGCTACATGTACATGTATGTAGTACAAACAGGTTGAAAGCTCAGCCAAATACAGAAATAAAAATGTACATACATGTAGCTACATGTATTGTACCTTAGTTGAATCGATTCCAGTATCATCTGAAGAATCATCACTTTCCAATAATTCAATTGTTAATGTTTTGGAACGTGTCTAGAAAAAATATTAAATATTTAAATATGCACAAGGACACATAAATTATGTAGCATATACCATTATTATTTTGAAACAGTTTTCATCTGCAAGTATTTCCTCCATTTTCTTCTGATAAATCATTTCTGATGCAGCAAGTGATGATGTGGTCACACTATCTTCCAACTCTTCAACAAACTTTCCATACTCATCTATAATTTGCAAACAATTTTCTTCAGCAATCATAACATGAAGCTAAAAAATTGAAAGTACACTAGTTAGTTCCATTTATAATTACTTGTCTAGCAATATTTTGTACAAGTCTATCCATAGTAAAAGTTAGATAGGCATGGACACCAAACATCTCACGACAAGTATCCTCATAGGACGAGCTGTCAATGTTACCTTCCATAAAGTTCTTTGCCATATTAAGAAATGTTGGGTAATATTCATCAACTTGAATACCAGCTAAAATAGAAAAATACCCAATGAAGTGAAAATGCATTTATGCAACAACAAAAATTATTTAAAAGTACATGTAAATAAGTAAAGCAACAATTCTTTATGTTCAGTATATAATTACAATGTACATGTACATACATGTATACACAAATAAAACTAATTTAAAGAAATAAGGCCACAATAAAAGAATGCAAAAACTTCAACACAACTGGGATGTAACTTACGTAGCTTTCGCAACCCTAACTTCACTGCAATGGATTCTTGAGAGGAAGGAGTACCATTATTATTATGTTCTTGTATGGTCATTAAAGATTGTGAATAAACTTTGCTTAACCTTTCACAAAGGAACTACACAGAGGTAGAATATATACATTGTATAAACGAACAAAAAATAATAATTACCTGAATTAATCTGAAGAATGCATAAACAGTGTTGTTTGTAAAAATTGTATGATGATCAAGCTTATGATAGCAAGATGGGGTTTCTGGAAAGGAATGCAATAAAGATCTAGGATTTGCATCAGGATCTAAAAAAGAGTTAAATAGTGCATTTAAATATCACAAACCTTTAACATCCTGACTAACATCCATAGCATCTGAATCACTGTCAAAACTAAGATCATCTTCTGAAGTAAGCTGGATGCTTAAAAGGAGAAGGAATACATAATTACGTTACTACACATACATGTAAATGTAAGCAATAATTATACTATTGGCACTCGGCAGGCAAAAACAACTATATCAAGTGATTATGCACCCACAACTACGTGTACATGTACATGTACAGTATAACCTCAATTATCCGGACCCCTTTGTCCATCAGGTGGTCCGGATGGGTCCGGATAAGTGAAAAGTCCAGATAATCAAAATGACCTTCAAAACCTTCATATACTTACTCCAAAGAAAAGCTAGAACCTTAATCAGCCGTAAGGAGGCTATATCCAAGCCTTTTTACAAGTAGAAAGCCATTAATCAGCAGCATTCCAGTGTTAAACAAGCTACTCTGTGTTGAAAGCAGCCATTTTATAATACCATATACTCTAATTAAGTGAATTTAAAGCACCACGTGGTCACTTCTGGTCATGATTTTAGAGTCCGGATAATCAAGGATCTGGATAATCGAGGTTATACTGTATATACATGTACATGTACTGTACATATAGCTTAAAAATTTAAGTAAAATATACACATACTGGTACATGAACTTGTAAAAGAGAACAGCAAACACAAAAACACTACATGCATGATTGAATACAGGCCAGGGAAAGCTTGGAACAAGCGTAAAACAGCAAGCAATGTACATGTACATGTGCCTTTGTATACATGATTACATGTACATGTACATGTAGGTGCCATTGAGCTATTTTTGATCAAAAATCAATAAAAAACGAGAGCATGAAAGTGCATACCCTCGCCATAATATGTACATGTATGTAATAGTTTTAATAAATTAAGAGCAAATTAGTGAATGTTTTGAGACAGAGAATGTTTTTTAGACAGAGAAGAAGCTTCAGCATGTTTGCTGCACTGCTGAGCTGCATGCATGCTGCAGCAATGTAAAGGTGTGGCTGCAATGAAGGTGAGGCTCAATCAAGCCATGCTCCACCCGCACACAGAGTAAAAGGTGGCACATGGCACTAAGTGGTGAAGAAAGCTTTATTTTTTTGACTTTTAAACAGTTTAGCATACATTTGTTAGGCCCTATTTGTTGCATACAAACTGCTATCTAGTTCCTGATGTTTAAATACTCTGGCCGTTACCTCAGGAGAAGAGAACCTCGTCTAACTCACAAGGTATAAAAGTTTGGGCTATCATATCTTTAAAACAAAGAAGATTGGAGCAATTTCTTACATATTAATCAAAGACGAGGCTTTGTTCTATCGCATCATTTGTCTTGCTGCTTTTTAGCTTTCACCACAAAAGAGATATATTTGTACCGACTAAATTTGGCGATAATGTGAGCCTTTTTGCCTCGGAAAGACGAGTCAAGCACTTTCCAGACAGAGAATAACTTTCTCTAGAGCTAGTTTTGATTATAAGACTCTCAAGGATTTCACAAAAAAGCAGTGTTAGCTCAAGAGTGGAGGTCAAGCGAACAGACACACACAAACAGACAGGACGACTGCTATACCCTTGCTTCATGCCTACGCATGGCTTGGATAATAAGTGTGTAAAAGCAGTGTCTTAGAGTAAATTTATATCCATACTGCATAATGAAAAAGCATATCAGAGAAAACTAAATATACGGGTAGCATATAAATCTGTGATATACCAGTACTTGTAGTAACTGAAAATACTGAAATTAAATTTTATTTAAAACTACCACATACAGTAGAAAAGTGCATAAGGAAATGAATTCCACTTACTCAGGATAGTAACAGAAAGCAGAGAGAGTACGTGTCAAGAACACTTTAACCTTTGTAGCTTCTTCTTTTGTTAAACTAGATGCCCTCTTCATGTAATACATGACTAGTCCAACAGCATCATTAAAAACATGATTTTCATCCTTAAACAGAAATACAGCAAGACATACATATAGATGCTGTAAGTACAAAAACAATCACATACTGTAAATCTAAATGAAAGATGGGGTCCAACATCAGCTGCTTTTCCTTCAGCAAAACTCTCTTGACGCTAAAGGTACAAAAATTACAACAAAACATGGTAATTAAAGCAGAGCAATACACAATTATGCTTTCATGTATAATACATGCATGAATGTGAAGAATAGTAATCAATCAATCATGGAGCCTGATAATCAAAATTGAGGGAACATACAATGTACTAAATTTACTGAGGCTTTTGGGCAAATTAGATGTCTAATACATGTATCACTTACATGCAGAGTGAAACTATCTATGGCAATGATATTATTCCAGTACATGTACAAGTACAATCGTGATTTTAAAAATGCTTAAAAAATTACAAATAAAAAACTAAAAACGATGTACATGTACATGTACTTCTGGAAAAAGAATAGTACATGTATGTACAAGTACTTTACTTCATCAAAAAGACATTCAACTTCTCCAATAAGAGACTTAGGTCTCATGATTTTAGTATCCGAGGCTTTAAAGTTAATGCCTTGATGATCCAATGATTTCAAATGATACTTCTCTAACTGCTCTCTCCACATTTTATTGAATTGCCTTTGAGCATCCAACCAGTCTTCCTGCTTTGACTTTAGTCTGTTAAACATTAAAAATTGTGTATTGTGAGCAATACATGTATCAATGAAATGATTATAAACATATGTAAATGTAAGTTTAGTATATTGTTTGAATGTAAACAATTACATGCATACAAGTAACATGTACGTGTACAAACTGTATGTACATGTACACGTACTACAATGGGCTAATTAATACGACCACAGAACACTTTTAATTAAACATTAAAAAACCCTTGCTATACGGTAACATACACATATACACTACAATATTAACAGTGAAAATCTTAATTGGTATAAAATGTTGTAGCTTCCTAAATCAATAAAAACAAATGAACGTGTATAATATTTTGGTAGATGCAAATAAGTCCATTCCTTTATAGGGAGAAAAGATCCTTTATTCTCATGCCACGTAATGTAATAGTACTAATTTTAAGATTGCGATCATTAGCTGTATTATTCTAAGCATGCAACTGCAAGAAAAAGAGTTAAAATAGCAAACAAGAAGATTTGCCTACTTGTGGTATTATGACTTATTCTTGCAGTTGCATGCTTAGAATAATGAAATTTAATGCTATGGCATTACAACGCATCAGAATAAAAGATCATTTCCCCCTTATAAAGGAATGGAGTTATTTGCATCTATGCCTCTTATGATGTCACGTTTAGCCACACCCACCAACAGAAAGTAAATTGGCAGGAAGCAAAAAGTGCATTCTTGAAGGCTCATACAATGTATCTCAGTAAATAAATTTTTTAAGACAATGGGAGTTGGAACACATCATTATTATGATCAGGCAGTTATATTAAGACCATAAAACAAATATCCTGAAAAATCACTGGAGTTACACTTTAGGTAACATTCAAAATGAACAGGTTCATCACATTGAACAATCATGCTAACCTTTTCAAAACAATTGGTATTGCAACTGCAGGGTTCCTTTTTAAACCTTCAATAATATCAGTGGCTTTGTCACCATATATTCTATGTATAGCTTTACGATGAATAACTTCAGAAAACCCCCCAAGTCTGTTATCAAGTGTAAAATGGTTTAACGTCTCTGGAGACATTCTGCAAAATTGTCGCAATACATATGATGCTGAGCTGAATAATGATTAATAAACCTTGACATTTTCTTTTGAATGGCTTCCAACACTTTGATTGTTGACAAGTTAGTTTCTAAAACCACATCTAACTCAAAACGTTCATCTTCACACCTACACAGTTAAAACAACATTATACATGTACATGTACATGTGACATTTAAAATGCAATACAAATAATAAACACACATGTTCTTCAATGGTTTAATTAGAATTTGTGGCAAAACAATTAATTTAAATGTATATGTAGCTAAAGATTAAGGCACGTAAAGAAAGTGCCCCATTCAAATAAAGTACATGTAAAAGCAATTAGCATTATTAAAATACATAACATACTGAGGTTTTTATGTAAAAATGTATGTACTGTACATTTAGACATGATTCAGCAAATCACAATACAAGACACATAAATGTACATGTACATTGTACAAGCTTATATGTACAGTGTACTTGTACATGTGGCAAAGCTGTATATTTACATGTACACATGCAAATAACCTAAATATATATTCTTCATATTGAGTTTTCCTTGTTCCATGAAACGTTGTATCTTCAGACCACATTGGAAATGAGACCCAAGTATCATTCAAAACTTCATGACATAATCTAGTTCTTCCTGAACATTTAAGTTGAACATAAGACTTCGGTAGTGCTCTATAACTGGCTCCATGACGCTTCAGACTGTTAAAATCTATGCAATAATAAATAGTAAATGTCACAAAACAGAGAGAAACAAAAGTATAAATGCAAATTTTTATGTACAGAAATTTTCTAAAATATATTTTTACCGTACTATATACATGTAGTACGTATAATGACTAACTAGTACAATTTACATGTACACAGTAAATGTAACATACAAACTAACCTATTTCAGCAGCAAATTCAGTTACTCTTTCTTTATGAGGTATTTGTGGTGGAGGAGATGGTTCAGGAGATAATTCAGCAGTACTTGGCTCCTTAAATCCCAATAAAACTTTAAACTGGCAGAAGAGGTCAGGAAATTTTCTAATAAATTTGAAATTTTAGTAACAATTTTAGCAAGCACAGTTAAAGCCAGAGTACAACATGCGGTGAAATAAAAAACCTAAAACTGTGTTTACTACATTGCATGCATAGCTAACATTTTATTTCTTTTCACTAAAATTTATATGCATACATGAACATGCACAAGTAAAGTAAACTGTAAAGATTCCCTCTACCTTATAATACACATACATGTACATTGTGTACTTCGGTAGAAGTCTTTAGTGCTATTATGATGCTAGAAAGCTCTTAACCTGGTCCCTACTAAATAGCATCATGTACATGTACATGTACCTATATATACATGTATGTACCAGTAGTCTGTAATAAGTTATGTAAATGTACAGTGTACAAACATACATGTACATGTATACTAGAAGTTTTAGGAATACTGCCCGTGTAAATACTGTACCGTACACACTCAGAAATAGCATCCAAACACAGGTATACAAACTTTAAGGAACAGAGAGACTACACAAATAGAATTGTACAAGTAGGATACACCGTATACTGACTTATTTCTCTGGTGAAATATTTTCAAAAATTTGGCAATTTCTTGCTCTGTTGTGGAATTTTTCCACCATGAAATTTGCAGTTCCATTGCCAAGTGGTGTAGTCTGCAAGCTACTGGTGAAAATTAATCATGCAAAATCTTGAAATGTAAAATTCGCTTAAATTTACTACCATGAAAAAAAAACTAGCACCGTATAACGCTTTAATTTGGCGGAGTTTTATTTTGGCAATTGGGAAGCAGAATCACCAATATTAAAACCTCCAGTCAATGACATAATTTAAAGTACATTTAAGTACATTTATATGTCCATCAACAATCATGTACATGAACTTACCCCAGAAAAGGTGTAACAAGTTGGGTAAGTTCTTGTCTAGAGACAATCTCTTCATTGAATAGCATAAGACAGCGGAGAAAGTTATCATAAACTTCAGGATTGTGTAAAGCTTTGCGAATCTAAAAAGTGAGAGAAAGCTACATGTACACATGTACATGTAGTTCATTGATACAAATGACAGGTATATTAAAATGCATGTATAACATATATTATAGTCATGGTTTTGCTTTTGATGGTTGGTACATGGGAGCAACAACCTCTAACTACACGCACATGTATGTAGTGCATCACTTATAGTGGATATAAATTACAATATTATGCCAGAGCAAGTTTTTAATAAAAGGCGTGCACAATTTGACCTTTCATAGCATGCAAAATTTTAAAACTGTTCTCAAGCAATAGCTTAATCATTCTAAGAATTTCATCTAACACTGAAACAAAAGTATAATAAAAATGTACTATTCAATGATAAAAAAACTCATAATTAGTATTACATGTACATGTACATGTAGTTCTAGTTCTAGCTCCAGGAACAAACAAACATGTACATTGTAGCAGCATACATGTATACATGTAGCTACATGTTCTAGTTGAAGTTCTAGTACTAAACTTGTAGTTCTAGTTTAAGTTCCAGTACCCTAGCTGGTTGAGTTGTACATGTACATGTACATGTAGTTTCAGTTCCAGTTTATTTTGCTAGTATACAGTCAAACCTGCTATAGTGGACATAAGTATAAAATAAGGACACTACTATAATCAACAAAATATAAACACTTCTACAATAAGGACAGTTTTATTGGGTCCCAATCATCTGGAATACTGCTTTAGATTTAGTGTTAGCTGTAAAGAACAACATGCACATGTACTTTTAAAACAAAATTAAAGCTATGCTTATGCTTAAGTAGACTCTACAGCAATAGCGTAACATTGGGACTAAGACACACAATTCAATATCTTATTTTTTGACAATTAAACCATGCAATTAACATGTTCTTCTAGTCTGGTATAAATACAGTAATGATTTAACTTGAAACAAAGGAACACATACATGTAACTGAACACCTCTAAGATAAAACTACACGTAACTAGCTGTTATGTGCAGTAAATGTAGACAGATGTGCATGTACATGTTCAATGCAAGTGGCAAACACAATCTAAATACACGTATGTACAATTGAACCACATACAGTACATAGGAACACAGATTATGCACACCTTATCAAATAATGCCACTTCAACATAGTTACCATGTTTACCGGCTTCAGCTAAGACATCTTTTGCACTATTTTTACTTTTCTTACTCGGTAAACCTGCAGAGCTGCTTTGTGAGCTCTTACGACTATGAGCTTTGCCACTTTTTCCTAGTAAATGTAGAAAATAATTTTATAGAGCAAACAATAAAGACATATATGAAATTAAATTATCATAGTAGCTAGAAGAGAGAACTCAAAAATAATTTCGCAACTAATAACTGACACTTTGATAACTGCAGCACTAAAGTAGGTCATTTGCAGATTAAATTAAAAATATTCTAATTACTTGTTATAACTATATACACTTCAAAATATTACAAAAATATGGTTTACTTATGGACAAAAACCTGACCTTTAATAGACCAATAGCTATCATCATAAGATCTTAAAGTTAAATGTTAAAAAACGCTTAAAGTCAAACATAGAGTACCAGTACAGGTTCATAAATTATGTAACTATCGGCTATTTAAATGCATTTTGTACTCGGTCATCTAGCCGAGTATTAATGATGGGCCAGTTTACTTAACCAGTTACATGTAATTGAATAACTGTCACAGCTCTACTACTTGCTAATTACTGAATGCAAAAAGTGCATGAAATATACCAGATTGCTTCTTTGTGGCAGATGCAGCTAGAGCTAAAGGTCCCTATTATCAATAGAAATAAGTATTATGATGAAAATTAAAGCTTTAGAACTACATTGTACACGTAACATACAGCAAATCCTAAAAGACTGTGAGAGGAAGTAGCATCAGGGAGAAATTGCCCAAATTCAGAAAGTAAATCCTCTTGATTCTGAAACAACTTTGAAACTTGGCCATATACTTCTGTCTCACTCAAGGGTGTGGTTGATGGTATGCCACCCTAAAAAAGCCAACTACATGTAAAAACATGAAAACATTTGCAGTCAAAATTGAAATGAAGAAAAAAAGGACATGTGCATGCAGAAACAGACAGCAATTATAGCAGTCTTTGTAAGTCCACATGTAGAAACCTCAATAATACAAGTAAATAAATATACTCCATGCATTGTACATGTACATGTGCTTAATTCTATAATCAACAGTGCTGAAATAATAGGAGACTACATGTGCCTGTATATGTATATACTGTACATGACAATGATGACATGTAAATCATAGTACACATGTACACGTAAGTGCATGCTTCCATTTAACATTTAATAACAGCATGCATATACAGTACATGTACATGTACATGTATAGTAGCAATACAAACTATAAGAAAAAACAAACATCTTTTAGAAGACGTTGTTCTTTTTGATAGGTATGTAAAATCTCCAGAAATGCTTTATAAACATCAGGTTGACCCTGAAACCGGTTCTAAGAAAAACAGAAAAACACATTAATAACATAAAGTATTTACTTATACCTTTATCTTGTTGACGTAATTGATGGCATGGTTAAATTCAACAGGTTGATGACCCTATAAAAATGTAAGTATATAATTAGTAAAAGTTACGGCATAACTTTTTGTTGTCCAGTCAGTGCAGGGTTACTGCTAGAACTAGGAGAGGAGCGTTGAGTCTGCCCAGTTCCAGACTGATTACCAGCACTGGCTGCCTGTTAGGACAAAAAGAAATGCAAAAAAAAGAACATTGTTAACTGGCTAAAATATCTGTACATGCACCTGCAATTGTATAAATACATACTTTACATGTACACACATACTGTACATTGTGTACATGTCAATAGGTGGTTATATACACATTCAGCAGTCAGCGTAACAATGAGGAATTGGCATCTAAGGCCTTAACATGTACATTGTAAATGTATGATAAGATGAGAAGTTTCTGCCAGTGTTCTGTGTTGTAGTGTGAAGATTAAGCTCTTGTTGAAGTTTTTGCTTTGTTGTCCAAGTAGTTAACATGGCAGTATTTTGTCCTGCTAGCACTAAATCGCAGAGGGTTAAATTGTGTTATCAGTAGTTGCCCAAAGTACCGTAGGTCGGGATATATTTGCGGCTGCAATTATTTGTGGTCATAAAAAATTCAAATTAATAACTATGGAAACTGAGTCGTTATTTTAATTGAAAACGGCGCAATATTGAAGGAAAGCACCTTGCTGCAGTGTTTTGAGCTGTTGTTCTTCTTGTGTTACTAAGCCTTGGTCTCTTTGGAGCTGCTTTTACTGGTTCTTTACAGAACTACTGTCTTGCCGCATCTTGGGACTCTGCACCTATTCTAGTTAGTGTTTATTGACTTGGGTGTGGTTTATTATCACCAGCACGTGGACCAGCAACAATTTGCAGCAAGAGGCTGAAAGAGCTCTGAGGCAGAGGTCCATACAAGAAGTTAACAGATAGAGAATGACTCGCTATTGGTGAATGGTTCCACTAAAGCTGCTAAAGAACAAATGAATAGCTGAACACTAAACACGTTGTCTTATTGTAATAGCAATGCTCTAACAGTTGCCATGGTTTTTAGTTAAACTTTTTTATGATTGCGAATAATTGCAGCCGTGAATATATCCCGACCTACGGTATGATCTCAATGTGCTGCTCAGTAGTTGGCGAAGCATAATCAAGGTTTCTTTAAAATTCCTTCAAGTGCTTGGTCTTGGCAATTACCCTTTGCTAGTTGATATTCCTTCTCTCTCCTATTGCTACAGCTTTCATCTCTTGACCTGTCTCATATACCATCTTAGTGATCCTTGAGTAATGGCTAATCATCTAGAACCACTTCCACTTCAGCAATGTCAATGGCAATGATTGCCAGTGAAAACATGAAGTTCCTCCAACCCTGTTGGTGTCAGCTGCTACAAATACTCTAGCTCCTCCTACTCTTCAGTCAGACTACTGGGATCAATGGTGCATAAAATGGTTCATCTTGAATTGTATCACCAAATCAGGGTGTTTCTGTGTCCCTTATTTGCTTCTTCAGGGTCAGTTTCAGTTGTGGTGACTGCACTAGCTGTTACTCTGCCATTAACCAAAAGAGAATTAGGGGTTGTAAGGTGTTTATCCATTATTTGTATTTTAAGCTACAGTACAACTACATTTATCCCAAGACTGGGCTTTCTTAATCAATGCAGATAATATTAAGCCAGCCAATAGTGATGAAATATGTAAACAAACCACCATGTCACATTCTAGACAGACTGTTGTGCAACCTTAAAAGCAACACTTCTCCTGATTCCTAAACAATCTTCTATTGTTTTGATTGCTGGATTCTTTCGATTGAAAATTGAGTCTGGTAAGTAATAGCACATAAAGCAACGTAAAAAATGTAATTAATAATAATAAAAATTCTCATGCCACATAATTTTTATCCTTCTTTCACAGTATACATACATGTACACGTACATGATATTTTCACTTTATAGCCTCAATTACTTTCATCTAGTTAAGTACTAACAGCTTGCTGTGGAAGTAGCATTAGATGGGGAAGGGGAGAAACAAAATAATGAGCAAATTAAGGAAGTGTTGCATCTTACTCTTCTCAGGATCAAGCTGATATTGGTAATGCAGCAGATGTAAAGAAGTTTCAGAATACCTCTGACAATGGAGAGCACTGAAAGCCTTTTCAAGAATTAGAGACATTTTATTGTAATTAAACAAATTAAAAATGTTAGATGGTTAAGCCGAAGTCAAAAGTCTGCCAAAACATAAAACTGGGAGAAAGGTGCTGATGGAGAATCAATTACATGTAGATGCAACATAGAACACACAGAGGATCAGGCCTTGTAATGGCAGCTGCTGAAGACATTGTCAAAGCTCAAAACAAAACTCTACTTTCAAAACATGGTGGCCACATAAAAACCACAAAGATCTGGGCTCTGTCGCTGTTTGTCAAATGAGGATTCTGAAAAGATGAAAGAAGGACTTTTCAATGAAGATGCTAATATGGTAAAGATAAATGTAAAGTACATCAAATTTCAGACAGTCTCATAATAAAGTTTTGCTGGTGGGTTGACCATGGCTGCTAAGGGGAGCACACAAGTGGATGTACATGTACATGTAATGTAATTGCACTAAATGACAAGCAACGAGTTACTACTAAATTTTGAGCCACACTTTACACCAATGTAAAATGGGTTCTTCCAAAAACCTGTCCCAATTATGGAGTCTCTATACATGTACTGATGCTAATCAGTGCCAAATTGGACATAAGTACTTCAAAAAGGCTCTCAAAATGTCTTTCTGGTCTCCAGGCAAATGTATAACAGAACAAAAAGGCTTTACACTCCAAAAAGGAGTCTCAGTTAATCTGATGTATCAATCTTGAAGCCTTCTTTACTTGTAAACACTTTCAACAATTTGCAATCTGGCATATTTTGAATCCTTCAGGTAATACCAGGTAACTTAAAAAGAATAAGATATCTTACATTTGTCTTTCATTTTATGAAGCACTGGTCAAAGTGATATAGCTCAAAGAAACTACATCTACAATTCTACATGTATGACAGCCAATGCCAATCATGTGGGACTCATGTGCAACTGCAAAGTAAAGTAAATCACCTTTGTTATATACATGTAAATGGTAATAAAATGGAACACCAACACTGTTGAATGATTTAAATACTACATGAATGCAACATCTATTTGTGAGTTTATACCACTTTTTGACTTGTACTGTACATACATGTGTATAATGTACATTAGAGAAATGTATGGCACTGAATAATTGAATGATAATGTAATACAGCCAGGTACATGTATATGTACATGTACACATATATATGTAATAATTATGGATAACTTACAGCTGCAGCAGCAGCAGCATTGTGCCTCATTGCAATTTGCTGGAGAGTATGACTATGCTGGGCAGGACCTTGAATATTGATCTCATTCTGACCATGAACTTCAATCTTAAAGCCAGGTGGCAAAAAAGTATTAAAGCCAACAATAAGATCAGGATGACCTTTAAACAAGTTGGAGACACGGCTAATTACACCAGGAGTATCAATACTAAAGACAAAAGGTAATAGTTAAAATATGGGGCAGTGATCTGTCAGGTCTATCTGCAGAAGTTTCAGCATATAAGGTCAAAAGCCAAAGTAATGTGCTACACACGTACATGTATTTTTGGTGATGAGACATAATGACCGGCCAGAGTACAAACAAACCTACATGTAGCTGATACAAAATGCCAGAAGTATGAACAATTAAGTTAGTGATACTGATACAATGTACATGTACATGTAGTTGTAGCTAAGATTTGTGCTGTGCATGTGCTGTATTTAATATGGATGGTGAACTACATGTAGTTCTCACATGGACAATAAAAGTCTAATTGCATTCACTTGAACCCTCTTCTTCTTGCTATAACTTTCGACTTACAAGCTCTATTGTACAAATAAACATGTACCAGTGCATTCCTCTCCTGTTGCTGCATCTATATTGTGGCAGTCAAGAAGCAGGCTGTAGCTTTTTAGCTTTAAGTTAGCTGTATAATCCAAGGAGGGAGTACAGCCATACTTTTCACTGCATGTTTGGGTGGGACATCTGTAATGACTCTTTAGGGCTCAAGCAAATGCAAATGGATTTCAGCTGTACCTCAGTGTCTACATACATGTACATGTATATATGCACATGTAAAAGGTTAAACAAATACAATGTATAATTATAGTCAATTTCATTTGAGTTGGCACTGGAAGTAAATCAACTTTTGTGGCATCAAAATGCCACTTCTAGCCAAACCAAAAATGGTGGAACAATTCAACCAAACTCTTCTATTAAGTACTGTATTTCTTCACCTCTATAATGTTTCATTGTCTCTTTTATCATTGCCTTGGATACTATATATAGCCACTTTAATTGGCCTAAAAAATTCACAAAATCTATTTTGTGGTTTTAATTTTCATGATTTTCTGCTTTTGGCCATGTTGAACCGTATTAAAATCAATTTTTGCAGATTTCATTTTTGTAAATTTTGAATAAATTGCAAAAATGAAATCTGCAAAAATTAATTTTAATATGGTTCAACAGAGAAAAGGTCCTAGCTATCAACGATAATCAAAGGTACTCTAAAGTTAAAATTTCTAGCTATAGAGTACCTTCGATTATCATTGATAGGACCTTTCTCTGTTACAAAGCTGACAAAGACCTTGGATGGAAAATGTAATCTACATGTAGGTTGACTTGAGGGTGACGAAGAATACATGTAACTGGAATCAAGAAGGATAAAGACAGACATAGCAGAATTTTCACAGTAGTAAAGTCTGCTAGTCAAATACTTGCTTCTCTAGAGGACCTTAATTGTTTGCTTTTATTTTGTAAATGAAAAAAATAAATGATAATGCAAAGCAAATGACAGACATAAGTGCCATGTACATGTACATGTAGCATCAACAACTCAACATCACGATTCATTATGGCAATTCCCTTTGAACTAGGGCGGAAAAACCAATTCAGAACATTCTAGAGTACGTAGAGACTCAAAAATTAGTAAAACGTTTCAAAAATACACATTTTGTGAGTATACTAAGGTTAAGGTTGCAATAATAAAAAATTACAAACAATGGTGCCCATGCCAATTAACTGAAATAGACTATGCATGCACACACATGTACATCTTGCTTGATTAATTTACCTTTGAGACTTAAATTCTTTCATTATATCAAGGAAATCATTATACACTTGAGGCTGATTACCAAACTGCAATTTGACTTGATCCAAATAAGAAAGTGCATCTTCAACCTACAATAAAAAGAAACAAATTACAAATTTATGTCAATTGAGTCAGTCAAATGTCAAATACATTACATGTAAATGCAGATGGGCATGTACATGTATTGTACATGTAACAGAAACAGCTAACACAACTGTATGTTCAACCACAAGGTCTGCAGATTGACATGAGTACATACACATAAGGAATATATACAATTTAGGCATTAATCATAGTTAAATTGCAAAAGAATGTTCCACAAGTATACCACTAAAATTTACATAAAATCCTAACTTAATATGATCAAAATAATTGGAGCGAGCTTGAGGGAGCCCCACTCTAGCAGAAGTCTTCTGTATGTATGTATGCATGCGTACATCCAGTCATGCCCCATGTATGCACTACTATCTATTTATCAGTCAATGATCTAATGCAGTAGCATCATTCTAATGAAAATTAATATTGTAAAAACAGTTAAAACACATGTGCATGTATCAAGCAAGAAGAAAGCTTGAGATCATCAGCAACAACCTAGCTGGAATGAAAAGGATGCTCTTCTTCTTGCTCTCAGAGGGCTATGATGGTATCCCAGACTCAAGATTTAACTAAAAAAGCAGCCTAACTAGCAGTAGAGTCAACGCAATACCGCAAATGACTCAAGCTCACCCCATTAATGCATTGCATTCGACTAGTTTTGTAATTTCTGTTACAAATCCATACACTATCCATGTGGAATAAAAATGTGAAACAAAAATGCTTGACATACAGTAGTAGCTAGACCATACTTCGGGCAAAAAATTACTTTGGGCAAATAAATACATACTTCGGTGGTACAGAAGAGTCTGGTGATATTGCCACAGAATTTGTTGCAGAAAGGAATGCAATAGTTATTAGTTATTAAAAGATTATGTCACATGATAACTTTTCCTTTGAGGCTTTTCTTAACAAGCAAGCTTCCTTGAGTGAGGAGAGCTGCAGTGATAAAAGGCAAGAAGGAATCTAGCAAGGTTGAAGGACAACATCTGCGGGAGTAAAAACAGAAAATCTGTATACATGTACTTTTTAACCAAGTTTAACATGACAAGTCTTCTCCTACTTCCTCCACAGTTAGTTTCTGTTCCTTTGCCAGCACTTATTGTATCTATAGTAGGTTTGTTAGTCATTCATGTATTAGCAGTCATTTTGAATAGGTCACGTGACAAAGTTACTTCCATGTGAGTGCAGTAATCTGATAAGTATGTTCAAGCCTGTGCTTATACTGCAACAAATTCTGTAGCAGTGTTACCAGACTCTTCTGTACCACCCACGCCAATGAAGAGGTGCCTACTATACATAAATACATGTACGCGTACACTGTACATGTAACACGCACATGTAGAGAGCCAAATGGATTAGGAAATTAAAAAGGTAAAATAAAGGGTGTGGCCATTCAACATCAGAATAACACATACACTCTAGTGTCTCTACATGTACATGTAAATTTTACATGTTTAACCTCATTAAGGGTTCAGAGATTGCATAAGTTTAGAGATTATGTACATGTACACAAACAGTACATATAAACGTACCAATGTTGTACAATTACAGTTCTAAATTAAAAAGTAATAAATTAAATCACCATATTAATGTACACCCATAAAACAAGGTGAAAGGTTATGCAAAGTCCTATAATTCTTAATTGTAAAGTATATATTCAATTTCTAATTAAAGTATTGTAACATATTAATGCTGAATTGCATGCAGTATCATACATGTACCTTCAATCTTTGAAACTGGGCTGAAGAACTAGGAGATACAACAGTGCCTTGACCCACCGAACCATTATCAGAAGCACAACTACTCTGGTTTGCTGAAGTATGAGAGGTAGTCATAGCTACAGCTGCTGACATTGTCGACGAATTGTTGACAGTATCACTATCTGAAGAGAAGACTCCAATTTGAGAGGCCATGGCGGAATGCGCATTAAATAGAAGAATGAAGTTGGAGCATGCGCAATACAAGGGGGCGGGTAATAGAGTACACGTGACGCTAGGAGGCAACATTGAGGCAGAGTGACTTGTGAGTATGGCTGAACTATTTCTTCGGGGAAAGAAAGTTTCAGAATTGAAACTGGTTGAAATCAAGGAGGAACTAGTGAAGAGAAACCTCCCAAAGAGAGGTAACAAGGCTTTGATTCTTAAAAGATTGGAGAAAGCTTTGCTAACTGAGAAGTTACATGCAGTGAGTAAAACCTAATTATATACATTGCAAATAATTTATCTTGTGATTACATAGAAAACAGCACTGAGTATGTGTGGCTCACTCTTATGGCGTAGTTTATGGGGTTCTTTTTATGGTTTTGTAGCCTCACCTATGATAGTGCTGTCTTCTTTATGTAATCTCTTTTTTACTGTGTATATTTAGTATGTATAAACCGTGGTGAGAGCGAATTACGTCACTATAGAGTAAATATAGCAGTTAGTGTGGTAGAGAAGGAAATAAATGCCATGGACGGCAACTTTTTATGGTGAACCAATGAGCAAAAGCAGAAAGCAAGCTATAGTAAAGAATCTGCAGCACATTGCACCAAATCTGTTTTATGAGAGGACCCATTCTTTCTTCAAACCAGCTTTTGTAGCTTGAAAAAGTTTCAGACCTGCCAGACAAATTGTTTTTATAGTTTACTCCATTCATTCTTCATTGAATCCTGCCATCCAAAATGGCAGCCAATTATTATGCGCAGGTGGATCTGTATCTCAGAATAGTCAAATTTATACACCTAGTCTTTTACAGCTCGGGACGTCTATTTAGGGCAAGTGTCTAACCTGCCTACATTTACATGTATGTGTGTTTTGTGATTATGTATTTTGTGATACTACGACAGTTATGTTTAAATTTGTTTTGAAGCTCATGTTTATCATGTAGAGTCAGGGCTTCATTTAGGGGGTGAGGGCGGAGAGGGGCTCTGGCCCTCCCCCCTTGGAGGACACTGCCCCCCTTGATTAACCTATTAACATGAAAATTTCAGTACATTGTAAAAATGCTGTGATCACGCATGGTGCATACACAATAGAAATTATTTGTGACCCCCCTTCTTTGAAATATTTTTAATCCTGCCACCCTCCTCTTATATAAAATCTTACATGAAGGCTTGAGACTTAATCCAATACCCTGTTGACACTACCCTTTGGAACTATACTGGAACTGTGTTTTGGGGAAGTATAGTGTAATTTTATAACAAGTGTGAACATAACTAAACTGCACTGTAACCAAACCAAATTAGGCTAAAGTGGTGCACCAAAATAAGTGCTCTGAAATGGTGTAGTTTAGTTTTGAAGTGAATCTGGTGTAGTTAAGTTGTGCAATGTGAACTGCTACTAGCATGGTTCTTTTATAACCAAACTAATCTAATTTAGTACAGTTCTGTACAGCTGGGGAGGTAGTGTGAACACACTATTAATCATCTAATGTATGGGTGTGGTAGATACACGTAAGTGGCACTTAATTGGAGCATGCAGACAACTTAATGTCACTCCAGTTTAGTGAGAAACTAGCAGGAGCAGTCAGAACATGATATTTTTGTAATATTTTGCTATTTTTTAATTTGTATTATTCTGACTTGGAATCAATACAAGGATGCAAGAATGTGGGTACTTGGTGCTATATACATGTACCTCGTTGCGTGAGATGAAATTACATCAAGGAATGATGTATGGCAGGGAAAGTGACTGAGCTGGAATTGACTCTGAGATTATTTTGAGGACTTTTCTATATAGAGCAATGTACAACGTACATGTATGAATTGGCTAACCCAGAAAGCAAGCTGTATGTTGCATCAAATCCCTGTAGAATATGCTTAGCAGCAATCATTCTTTCCTCCAACCAGCTCTTGCAGTGTGAAATAGGTCCATACTATGGAAAAGGTATCTCTTTATTCAACCTCCATTGAGTTTTGCCATCCAAAAATGACAGAAATTATCACCCATAGGTGGATATTTTAAACAGTAATGGTATACGTACAATGTAGGCTCACCGTCAATTTCACCTAAGGATGTCTATAGTGACCATGCTACGTAAACATAAGATCTGTGGTAAACAATCAGAAGAAAAGAGCATGATAAAGTTTTTTGGCCATGTGCGTGTGAGCAGTGCTATAAGTGACGTTTTGGTCTTGAAATTACCGTATAAGTGGTTTTTTTAGGCTTGCAAATTTTGCGGATTCTCTCCTGATTTGCGAAAATAAAATCTGTAAAAATCAATTTAATACGGTACCTGCATGGCACACGTGGTAGAATTTGTGAAATTAAAATCCACGAATGGGAATTTTAGCAGATTTTGCAAAATATAATTCTCTTGAAAAAGCCACTTATACGGTATCTGGTCAAACTCAACTGAAATGCACTGTAACTAATAATAGATAATATACTGGCCCCCTGTTGAAAATTTTTCTCAGTACATGTCCTTTTTTTGTATAGTTTCAGTGCAAAACATGCATGTTTTAGTGGCAAAACATAAATTTTTAAATACTGACATGAAAAAGGACGTAATATTTCCAGAAACACTATGAAACATGAATCAATTTTCATTAGAGAAGTACAAATTAGTACAAAAAAATGTAAAAGTACGAAACATAACAAAACATGAAATAATTGTGCCATTCATTTATCATGTACATGCATCACATGATGATAATCAGTTTGAGCAGGGAGGTTTATGCAGCTGAGGAAGAGAACAAAATGGAGGGGCAGACATGCTTTTGTTTTATGAATGGACTTCACAGATGGATGTTTTTCTATTATTGCACTTTAGTCAATAGATAGGTATTTGAGATTGGACTAGACTAAGCCCAGACATGCTTTTGTTTTATGAATGGGCTTCACAGATGGACACTTTTGTATTATTGGACTTCAATGGACTTTAGACAATAGATAGGTATTTGAGATTGGACTAGCAGTCTACAAGATAACTATACATTTTACTGGACAAAATTTTTTCATTACCGGTGTTGTTAATGAATGTGTTAAAAATTTGCATGAATATTGTTAAATCATTTAAAATTCAAAAGGACATGGCTGAATCACTGATAATTAGGTGATATTTGGTTGAACAACCTATTCTGGGTGGTATTTTCTCAAAAAGTACTTGGCCTACGACTTGAAGTATTGTACAGTGTATTAAGCATGTCTTCTAAAGTTATCAAAACCTTTTTGGAGGATGCAAGAGGTCCGTGACTAATTTGTACAAAAATCAATGTTGGCCACAGCTAAAAGTTGTCAAAATGGTCGTGCAAGTAACAATGAAACAAGTAGCATGAAATTTTGATGGGATACTTGTTTTTGGCCTGAAACACAGTGATACATCCTTCTAGTGTTTTATCTCAAGGTTTCAAGAATAACTTTCTTCTATGTGGTGTCTTGAGCTGCCGAATAGCGTGCATGTTTCACCAGTTTCTTCATGACCAAAACTGAAGAGCTGTAGCAAACAAGTAACATAATTCTGTAGCATTTATGTTTGTTAGCAATCCTTAGGAGTTTTAGCCTTGCTGACAAGCTTTGACTGATTTGTACAAAAATCAAAGTTGTGAATTTTTAAAAAGATGGAACAACAGGGTGCAGCATATCTCTCTCTTGTCTTGAGTTGATTGTACAAGACTATTTTTATTATTAACAGCAATGTATATTCTATTATGCTTGCTAGTAATAATAGTGTGTCAGCATCTGTGGCTGTCCTAGAAATGCTTAAAGGCACCATACTTCAGCCATGTTCGTTTTCAATGGGGAATCCATACAACGCCCACACTTCCTGTGTCCAGTAAAATGTATCATCATCGTGTAGACTGTAGACTAAGCCGTCATGCTAGTATTGCTTAGCCTTATACTGCTTGATGGCTCACTGGGAGTAGCTCAAGGTGCCATTATCCTGATACTAACTCTAACTCATTCATCTCTTAAGGGAATTCATGATCTGGCAGCTTAATTAGTAAGTAAATTCTTGTACACTGCTCATCTTTTTTTACGACCCTTGGGCGAAGCCCCAAGTTCGTTCCTAAGATTGAATTCAGCCCCCCGCAATGTACATGTATAATAATTGTGTGTCAACACTTACATTTCTTTTTATCTTCTATGCATGTTGTATTGGAGAAATAACAATTATGACTCACTTAGCAACGCTCCACCCAGCCCCCCAGCCCCTCACGTAGAGTGGGTGTGGCCACGGCAAGCAAAATGGCGGATTGGAAGCAGAACAAAGTTATGAGCTTTCTGGCAAGAAGAATACAGCAAAGATGATGTCTAAAGACTTCTCAAGAATCACTAGAAGGTAGAAAGAACCTTTATAAGTTTTAGTAAGAAGAAATAAATGCCTACCATGTGCGCAAGGTGGTGAAATCAATCTTAGGAAAATTTTTACACTAATACTCTTGTTAGAGTCTGAAACATGTATCTCTTTTTCTGGTATAGTAAAAAAACTAAGAAGAACTTATAAAACTGAGAAAAACAACAGGGTTGTCTAGACATGGGACAAAGCCTTGAGAGATGTACTTTCTATCATTGCTTGAGCCCTCCATAAGGATGACTTAATGTGCAGTCTTGTCATAGAGCAATAAGTGTATAATGATTGTAGATTTTTGAAATAATTATTATAATAATTATCATTATTGATTACATGTTATTATCAAAAGAGTTTCTGAAACATGCATTTGAAACATGAAACATACATAAAACATGAATCAGAGACATGTAACATGAATCATGAATTAAGACATGAAACATGACATATTACATGAAACATGCGGTCTTAATTTTCAGATAGCTACAAATGTACATAAAACGTAAACCAATGAGAAAATTTGTCCTCGAAAATGTCAAAAATTTTAAGAAACCAGTACTTTTTGTACTAATCCTTACATTAGGGTCGTATAGCTAGAAAATTTGGAGTGCTAAAATCTGGCGAATTGACTCTAAAAGAGGTTTGAAGGTTAAATTTTTGGTGAAATTTTAACTCTATGTTTGCTTTTATGAAGCCTTATCGAATTGGAGACTAAAAATTTGGCGAATGGACTTAAATTTGCTGAAGTTTTACTCCACCAACTTTTCTAGCTATTCGGTACATGTATTGATATATTCAATGAATGTATGTTAACTATGTTTGTAAATGTATTAGTGTATCTACATGTAATTGTTTATTATTGCAGCATATATTTTGCATTTACATGTGCGTCATACTTCTCTTGTTGATGTGCATAACAGGTATCTCCTGATTCCAATGAATTGCTATCTTCTAATATGGATAAAGGTTCTGAATTCTGTGCTACGTCTCCTGAGGTTGAAAGTAAAGCTAATGCTGATCAGATTTTTGGTGGCGATCCTTTGGTTGATCCTTGTCATGATTCAGTGAATGAAGAAGAACAAAATATGTCAGCAGCAGCTTCTGAATCTTTGATTTCTGCAAAGGTTAATCTATGATACATGTATAATGTACTAGACCAAACTATGGAAATTTGTTTGCCACAAAACTTTCTGGCTATACATCTATGTACATGTATATGTATTTGGTTATTGATTTTGAGAGATGCACAGGCGTATTAATAGATTTGTATAGTTGTACATACATGTATGTATACATGTAATACTGTCACTATATGAATCATGTATGCAGGAATGATGCATATAGCATGTGTACATGTATGTGTTAAAGGTATATACCATATGTGTTATAGCTTTTTTTGTATATCTTTACTTCAGGTTGACAGTCAGTCAGTAGATCTGTTGCTTCATGAAGGTAAATTGTTTTTTAATTGCTTACTAGTCATACAGTACATGGATGAGTTCTTTCAATGTGTGTTTAGTTTATTAATTATTATTGATTATTTACCAAAAAAATTTTAATATTATTTTCTACAAATAAGGAACTACTCTTAGTAATGAGGTCAAAGAAGCAAGAGAAATTATAGTGGCAGATGTGAAAGATGTTGAAGGTCATGTTAAAGTTGATGAGCAGAAACTGAGAAAAGAAGGGAATGAGTTTGAATCATCAGAGACTAATGCTGAACCTGGAACTGATGTCAAAATTTTGAACAACACAAATATTTGTGCTAGTACTTCTGCTATCGGAGATTCTCCTGGTCCTGAAAGCATTGATCCCAGTTATCCTAAGGAGGAGGAACTTATTTACGAAGGTGATGTTGACCATGAAGAAAGAGTGGATGATGAAGATAAGGATGTGCTGATTGTGGATGTCAACTCAAAAGAATTAGATTTAGGAGTTGCAAATGATAAAGTGAAGTCTTCTGTACCTACATGTAGTGACGGAAAAGTCCAAAACCGAAAACCTCAGAGTGCTGATGGGGAATCCAGTAGCAGGTGTGCCATAGAATGCATGCTGCATTGAAAAGACGTGTTCATTTTTGCTATTGTGTGCACTACATGTTACATGTACATGTATATGCACATGTACATTTACATTAATGTACAATACTGCCTAACAATTAAGTGTTAATTATCATAGGAAAATGAAACCTTTTGTTGTCATTTTATTCCTTGATTGTGTACACATTAATTGTATGTATACTTGTGATGTTGCATCTGCAAGATTTGAATACTATAGAGCTCCACAATTTTATTTATCAAAAATTTTATGGATACTATAGAGCTCCACAATTTCATTAGTCAAAAATTTTATGGAAGCTTATGTTCATTTCTTGCTTATTTGTCAATACATTTTTATCATTTTTGTTTTAAATTTACAAAATTGTGTTGGTGAAGAATTTTGTCAAGCACAAATGCCTGACGAATTCCATTAAGTTTTTGACTAACGAAAAATTGTAGCTATATGGTAAATTTTTTCCGATGTACAGCTATACATTAATGAAGTTGTTGTTTAATTTTTTTAGTTGTAATCTCTGGGTTAGTTCTTTGGCTCCTCATGTGTCTGCAGCTGATCTGAAATCCTTCTTTTCTTGTTGTGGACAAGTAAGTTCTTGATGAATTGACATACATGTAGGTTGAAATGCTATTATTTACCATTTGATTTATTGATCTAATACAGTCGTGGTCTGTATATAGACCATAGGCTTAAATGTGAGGCTACTTTGTGTGTACAATGTATATTAAGTTGCTAAACAAGAGCATTTGTGTGTTCCTAAGATTAGTTTCACTGTTTAACTTATTCATATAGAGGATCTATGTGTACCTTAATTCTTTTGTTAAAGGACAGGTATGCTTGTATATTGTGTATGCATTATATCTCCAATCATTGTCCTAATGTTGAAAATGGGTGGAGAGCCTGGCTATTGGAGAGTAATATAAAGTACGTCTAGTCACTGTGGAGTATACATGTAGTTGCATGGTTTCTATTGAGAAAAAACCACCACCACCCCTTATAACTTTAAAGGAATGCTAGCCACTACTTGAAATTTGGCATAGTTGCATAATCGGTTCTTCTGAAAACTTCTGCTTATTTTTAGAGTTTCTTAGTACTTTGAAAGATTCTAAATGGATGAAAGGGATCGCAATGACAAATTGGGTGCGTCACTTTGATAAATATCATTTGCATCTCATGATATTTGTTCAAAAATAACTTCTTTATTGAAAAAAAATTAAAGGAAGTATCAGGCTCTCTAGACGTACAAATTTTCAGCCAGGAGCCTTTTCCTGTTGCTAATACAATCTTTAATTTATCTGCATGTTGAGCTCTTTACCAGCTAAAGGCAGGCACTGAAACCAAAGAAAGGACAGATGGGTATATAGCAACCACAATAGATGTATAATAGATTATAAGGTCAGTTAAAGGACAAGAAAAGCCTGAAGAATGACAGAGATTGCTCATTACAGCCATACTTAGGTGGGGCTACATGTGACATTATAATATGAAAGCATAGGTTGGCTTTAATTTTTTCTTAACTTGACTAGCTATGTAATGTTTTCATTGCACTGTATTGTATATACATGTATGTACATGTAATTATATTTTTCGCAACAGATATTTGATATGATTTTGTACATGTACATGTATCTGATCTCTTTGTTTTTATTTTTTTGTCCAAAGTTGGGACTAACTGATGATATACATTGTTTATATTGTATAACTACATCTCTTAACACACATACACGTGTGAGTTGTGTGACCACCTTTTTGCTTGCTTGCATTTCTTTTTAGCGTTTCAAATGTGTCAACCAGAGTTTTTTGATTAATATTCCAAAATACTATTCTAAACTGTTACTGGCTGTGTTGCTTACTGCTTCTTACATACTGTATTACGTGGTTTTGTTTAATTTTGTGTAGGTTGAATCAGTGAAAGTTGTAGCTCGGGCCAGTAATAAAGGAGAACGCTTTGCATTTATTGTAATGGGGTCACATTCTCAAGCAAAAAAAGCAGTCGAAGATCTTAATGGCAAGGAACTTAAAGGAAAATCCATACATGTTGAAATTGTAAGTTTTCAATATTTTTACATGCATGGTAGCCTAAAGATACTTTATGTAAAATGCAGTACATGTGTACAAGTAGTTATATATTATTTTTTGGTGTTAAAGTGAGGTGATACAATGTACATGTTTATACCACTCATGATTAATTCTGTTTGAAGATTAAAGTGTTTATGAAGATTCAAAATTGTATATAAGCCCTGGCTGAGAAAGAAACCACAATTAGAAAACAATACTGTATAGCTCCAAATTTTTGTAACGCAAAAATTTTGTCAAAATCTTAATTTCTTGTCAAAATTAATTTTTGTCAATAAAATTTTTGTCAATAAAAATTTTTGTCATTTTTGTTACTAATCTGCATACTACCCACGTGGAACAAAAAATTTGTAGTTTAAAAGTTTCGTCAAGCAAAGGTACCTGATGAATTTGACGAAAATTTGGAGCTGTATGGAATTTATTGTTTTAAAAAGTTTTAAATGATGAGTGATTAACAATAAACTGAAATGAAATCAATTGTTTGTAAAAGATACAGTACATTACTGAAGTTATACACAGGTTGTGTTGACTTTTGACTTTGAGGCTGTGATACACAAGGCTTCTTAAACACTGGCTCCTCTTCTTCATTCTTTTCAGACACTAATTGTAGCTTCTTACTTATCTTTTCTTCTTGCTTGAGACAAATTTTTTTTGTAAGCTCTTACACCATTTGTATTGCGATGCCCTGATACCTTCATGATTTTGTATTCTTCCGCACCACTCTGATAAAGCCTTGTGACACATGTTCTCTTAAGAGAATGGTTAGTGTATTCGCCACTTATGCCCAATTGATCAATGATATATTTTACCGTTGCTGTAAGAGAGCTTTGACCAACTGCTTTAGATTGATACAAATTCTCTGGATGAGGCTTGTGTAATTGTTGCAAATACAGAATCTGACAGTGCATTTTCTGGTGTAAGACTCAAACATTTTTGGTAAAGGCAATTTACACATTTCTTATGGTTTTCATCATTAGGAAATGATTTGACAGATTTATTACAATTATTTTGTCTCGCAAACCTCCAGTGTAATTTTTTGAGCCCTATTCAATGTATTCTAAATAGCGTCTCCCATCAGGTAACTCAACCAAATGGAACATATCTGGTCTTAATGAATGGTGCTCACGCTCACTATGCAAAGCTAGATTTACTCCCAATCAGTGAACAAGTGTGTCTATAAGCTTGCTAGGTGTGTCATCTCCTTGAATATTCTGTAAACAAAGCTGGTTTTTACATCTTCCAGAGCTAAAAATAGCATCCAGACAACAGACAATTTATTTGCAAATGCTGCTGATGGCCACACGACTAGTGGTTCATCCTGTCTACGTGTCCAGACAAAGTAGGAGGCTTCCTTGAAAAACTTTTTGCATGCTCTTACTTGTGTAAACTGCAAACTCTTTCCTTCTGCAAGACCTGGCTCCTTTATTATTCTTTTTTAGCCTCCAACTGGGTCCGCTTTGCCTTTTTTTCAGTTTGTGCATGCTCTAACAAACAGACCACATGTTATTTTTAGGCAACTGGTAAGCCACTCCCTGTTATTTTTACTGTCTTGGCCTCACTTGAACTACCAGTGCACTATAGCACATGCCCTCACCACAATCAGGGAAGTGTAACACAACAAAAGTGAAACAGTAACGTTTTAAAAAAAATTGGAAAGAATGTTACTGACTTTCTGTTTTGCTACCTTGCTGCTGCAGGAACTAAAAGTGTGGCTGGAATGAAAGGTGTGGCTCAGTTCAATCAAAATATGCATTGCCTTGTTTAGTGAAATGGTGCCATGTGGTCTTACTGTGGACAGAAAGCTTTAGTTTTTCTAGGCATTCACACAGTTTTACACAGATTTGTTTGGCTCTATTTGTTTGGCTCTATTTGTTTCATGCAATTCCTGTATCCATTTTTTTCAGTTTCGAGGCAGTAGCCACCTTCTCAGAGAGGAACTGCTATGCTACAAAATGGCTGGTCAGTCACACTTAAGCTGTCATATCTCACAAATGAAAGAAAGTCAAGCAATTCCACACATTTTTTTGTTCTCCATGTTTTTCTTTACCTGTTGTTGCCTTCGAAGGTACCATAGCTTCAACTTTGCACATGTTACATGTAATCTTTTTCTGTTCTTAAACGTTGCCGACTTTTGCCACCTTGAAGAAAACAAAAGAGTTTATTATAGAAAAAGAACCACTTTTTGTGTACCTAATTGGCAAAAGGCATGCTTTGAAGAGCTTGACTAAAAAGTAGCATCAGGCAAAAAATCATCTATGATTGAAATTTTTGCTGACACACACACACACACACACACACACTGACAGCACGAGCACGGTATCCTTGCCTAATGCCTATGGCATGGATGTGGGCAATAAAAAGAAGCCTTTCTGTAGCTTAGTTGCTGATCAAAACAAGCACAGTACCCTTGCCTATACGCCTACGGCATGGGTGAAGGCAACTATAGTAGGCCACACTGACTTTGCCATCTCATTAAAAACACCTTAGTGGTCAATGTTAAGCAGGTGTTAAGGGTTTGATAAATTGATTGTTTATATTGTCACCACCAACGAATGTAAAATACAACAAAATTACAATAATAGCTACATGTATATTAAAAGTAAAAATAATGCAAGAAGGATTAATCAACATATTAAAAATTATGAGTACATTACATTACAAATGAAAAGTTTTATTACAACTAATGAAGTAAAATACGATTAGATTACAGCTAAAATTACGGTAAGTTAAAAATTGTGTCATAAATTAAAGTAGTGTAGTGAATTAAAAAAGTAAAATAGTCAAATGTCCTCATCCCTGTCAATAGCAGACGCACAATTGTCAAGTGAATCAGGGCATGAGGTGGCATCTTTCTCTCTAAAGACATCATCTGACTCATTACTGACATGAATGACAAAATCATGTACATGAAAACTTTCATAAATATCAAGATTGTCATTCTGCTAGTAGCTGACCTCCACTTTATCCCTCACATGTTTAACCAAGTCAGCCCATCGCTCTTTATTTACCACCTCAAAACCCTCCTTCGCAAAACTTTTAACTTCATCATGGGTGAACTTAGAGGTGTTTGCCTTTTTGTGCCCTTTACCTGTAACCAAGCCAATTCAATTGGATAGAGCGTACAGTGCGCCAGAGGCAGACGAACAACCTCGTGTCCAGCCTTAAGAGCCATTTCATCTACAATGTACTTAGTGGTCATGAGGCCCATCCTTCTGACTGCGTCTTGAATGATTGAGAAGAGTTGTGACTTAGTGCAATTATCATTAAATTTTACACCTAATACACTAGCCACTCAATCATCTTTGACTTGGTCCAACTTTTTTAGGCATCTCTTCCTCAATCCTTGAATTAAATGAAGCATTATCCATGACAATAAGACTATTAGGAGGAACATTTGGGAGCAGACTCTCTCTAAACAACTCCTCAAAGTGCTCTCCAGTCATTTTGTCATTATAATTGCCTGTGTTTTTCTTGGATTGGAAGATGAGAATGGTTTTGGGAATCCAACCCATGTCACCTCCCACTCCAAGAATAATGAGACGCTTGCCTTTACCAGATAGGCTACTCACTCCCCCTAAAGTACCCCCTGTTACAGTGTCTTGTTTTACCCTGGCAAAATCTTTGCCATTGTGGGCATTGGCCCAGGTTTCATCAAGAAAGACTACTGGTTTATTGTTAGCCCTATTTTGTCTGATCTTGCAAAGGTAGGATTTCCTCTGCTTAATGATGTGTGGTTGCTCATAATAATAATGTCTGTTGTCCACCATCCTGTACTTAAGTCCTATGTCATGTAGTAGTCTCTTCAGTAGTGTCTTTCCTTCATTAAAAGTGCTGTCATCCTCTTTTATCTTCAATAGTTTCAGTGTCGTTACATGTTCTTTTTGTTCATAAGAGTCATAAATTTTACACCTTGTAGCGTCAAAATGTTGAAGGTGTCTGGTTTTACTGTTCATCTGGAAGTCCTGTAACGTCGTGCTGGTGATTCAGAAGTGACAGAGTGTCCTTGTGTTGTGTCTTGTTCTTGTCCTATAGTCTGTTCCTGTTGCAGTCGATGTCGTTCTGAAATAATGTTACTTACAGTCCTAATATCTATTTCTAAATTACAAAAAGTAAGGAAACAAAAACACCAATTTCCCTTGCCAGAACAATCCCAGCCTACAGTCCTTTTGGCTCGGGAATGGTCTCTG